CTAAACTACCCAATAGTTAAGGTATCACAAGGACTAGTAGAAATTTGCCATTTTTAAGGGGTTTGCTTTATGTTATCATTATCAGGACTAGTGGCCTGAAACTGTTAGTTTCTACCCCTGGTATATGGAGTGTATATCTACTGACCAGCTGGTGTATATGGAGGGTTTATCTCCTGATCAGCTGGTCTATATGGATTATCTATCTACTGACCAGCTGGTGTATATGGAGTTTCTGTTGACTGACCAGCTGGTGTATATGGAGTATCTATCTACTGACCAGCTGGTGTATATGAAGTATATATATCTTCTTGTTTAATATGGGATACATCTAACTACGTGTTTCTCAGTTCTCTGCCAAACTTCCCCACAACCCCACAACCCCACAACCCCACTTCCCTGACCACCCAACTTCCCCCATCACCCCACTTTCGCCGTACCCTGTTAGGTGTCAGCAACATTCCTACGACTGGAAGCAAAGTTCCAGACTCTTCTCCATTTCTTCTCAGACATTGACTTTGTCGCAGTCATAACGGAAGACCTGGGAAGATCTGCGTGATGAGCATGATGAGTGGGCCCATTGGGTTCAACTGTTTGTTCATCCTGATAAGATTCTCCTTACTTGATTGTCATCATCAAAGGTCACCAGCACAAAAAATGTGCTGATGGGCAATATGTATTCAGTCACTAATGAAGCATCTGATTAGCTCCATAAAACATATCTCCTCTGCAGCTTTCTTCATCTCTTGGTGAACTGGTTACTTTATCTCTTGATGAAGGGGTTAAGCCAGAATTCTCACACAGTGTGCGCAGGGAAAGAGATGTGTCATCCATTTTAAGTTTGATTTGAAGACTGATCCTGTGCTGAACCTAGTGAGTTCATGTGTTTGAAGTCATGATGAGAGGCTCCTGGAATACGAAAAGTCTGTGGTTGCATAGTTATGAACTAGCTGTGTAAATAAACCTGTACGATTCCTCACATTGGTTCAACGCTGTATGAAGTGGGACACTCACCCAGTCACTCTACATCACATAAAAAAAAGGAAATGAGGCACCCTGTATGAGGTGTAAAACTCAGTCTAAGTCACATAAATAGTCCCTAAAGCCCTTAAAAACAGCAAATTTCTACTAGTCTTTATGGTACCTTAACCATTGGGCAGTTTGGCAAGGACTATAAGACTAAAGTACTCATGGAAATGAAAAAACCCTGTTTTGCTGGAATTAATAATCGACACAAAGCATTACGTAGATGTAAATACGAAATAACAAAACAACTGGAAAAGTACTAGTCTTGACATGGCAAAAACAGGCTATAGGCATTATGCATTATCAAAACAACAATAAAAATAACAACTATGTTTATGTACATAATAATAATGACATATAAGTTGTTGTTTGAGAAGGGAATATGTTACTTTTACGTTCTGATATTTTGACGATGATTCACTGTCCCACAATCATGACAATGCCACTCACAAATCACTAACCACTGACAAATCACATGCAGGTGGGTTTCAAGCACCTGTTTTCACCTGTCGTCAAGGTGTCATAGGTCATGGACATTCACCTTGATTTACTAACATCTGGTTATGCTCAGTTTCACAATAGTCTGTTTTGTTCATATTTTTACATACTTTTACGTGTAAAAAGACATAAAAACCTTTGATACGCTGTATTTGTGCCAAGGCCCCATTTGTACTAATTGAGTTGTTTGAATATTTATATATTTTGTATATTAACTGCATTTATTTAAAATCTGAGATCGAAAAAAGTTTTTTTTTCATTTCAGTGAGTACTTTAGTGCCAGTGTTTACTGCCATTGATATACACTCAAACACAAAGCCATCAGCCATCACAAGATAATTTGTGTCATGTCAGTGTTGTAGAATAGATAAGAAATACCACGTATTGGAATGATTCAATCTGTTCAACTCGTTCAAACCTAAACTGTGTACTTTGAAATACTGTCCCTGCCATAATCAATGTTGGAATCTAGTGTTGTTCTGCTTCATTGTTGAAGTACCCAACTCCTGTACCCAGAGCTTATAGCATATTTACATAATCCATGATCCACGAGCATGAAGTGGAGTTTTGATGACTACAGTAATCTCATCATTATTTGCTTTTCCTTCATGTTTCTCCATGTTCCCCATTAAAGAACACAAGATGTTTATGAAATGAATTCACCGCATAAGCTCCCTGATATTTAAGTAAAGAGAAAGCTAAAGAAGTAACGCGTCGTGACCGCGAGTCAGTTTGTTAATAACATACATCAGCATGATCAGCGAACGTATAATTCCAGTTTTACGATGTCATGCAGCAGACCCTAGTTAGGCTGGAAGTGATGCTTGGTGAATACACTGTATTGATTTCACTACAGCCCGATATAATATTGACCGGTGTTGTGTTTCGTTGCCGTCAGTTCTGTAAATCGCAGCGTGCGCTGCGGCCGCGAGGGCCACAGGGATGGGGGAATAATGGCCGCAATTGGATTGTGATTGTATCTGACTGCCGGGGCAACTTCAGTCGGTGCTAATTACATTCATGTTGATTGGGGGCCTGTTATGACGAGCCGTATAACATTGGATGCGTTTATGTTGAGCTGGTTGGGCCATCAGATGTGTAAACATATTACTGAGCTGACAACACAGTTTGTGATGGAGCTGCTGGTTGGTTGGTTTGTTGTTTAATGCCGCACTCAGCAATATTCCAGCTATATGACGGTGGTCTGTAAATAATAAAGTCTGGACCAAACAATCCAGTGATTGACATCATGAGCATCGGTCCACACATTTGGGATACAATGACATGCATCAACCAAGTCAGCGAGTCTGACCACCCGGTCCCTAAAGTCGCCTCTTACGACAAGCATGGGTTGCTGAAGACCTGTTCTGACCCGGATCTTCACGGGTCGAGCTGTTGGTATCGGATCCTGTACCTACAATGTTGAGTAGGGCGAAGTGGTTGAAAACAATTCAGCTGAATGACACCTTAATTTATGAATTGCTTCCCTTGAATGTGCCAGGATCCACAGGTTGAGTCAAATTCAACCAGATTGTTCTCTGCTTTTTGGAGACCACCTCTGTAGATAGAGCATCAGCCCTCAAAACATGTATACGATTCCCCTACAGCCTGAATGGTGATAACATATACAACTCCCCTAAAGCCTGAAGAGTAATAACATATACAACTCCCCTAAAGCCTGAAGAGTAATAACATATACAACTCCCCTAAAGCCTGAATAGTGATAACATATACAACTCCCCTAAAGCCTGAATAGTGATAACATATACAACTCCCCTAAAGCCTGAATAGTGATAACATATACACCTTTCCTTGAGCCTGAATAGTGATAACATTTACACCTTTCCTTGAGCCTGAATAGTGATAACATATACACCTTTCCTTGAGCCTGAATAGTGATAACATTTACACCTTTCCTTGAGCCTGAATAGTGATAACATATACACCTTTCCTTGAGCCTGAATCATTGTGAATAGTGATAACATTAACAACTCCCCTAAAGCCTGAATAGTGATAACATATACACCTTTCCTTGAGCCTGAATAGTGATAACATATACAACTCTCCTTGAGCCTGAATAGTGATAACATTTACACCTTTCCTTGAGCCTGAATAGTGATAACATATACACCTTTCCTTGAGCCTGAATAGTGATAACATATACGACTCTCCTTGAGCCTGAATAGTGATAACATTTACACCTTTCCTTGAGCCTGAATAGTGATAACATATACACCTTTCCTTGAGCCTGAATCATTGTGAATAGTGATAACATTAACAACTCCCCTAAAGCCTGAATAGTGATAACATATACGACTCTCCTTGAGCCTGATGTTATAAGTCCCCTATTGATACCCATTAACATCAGACAAACACAATCCAGCAAGTTGCATGTCTGGATGAGTAGCCAAGTCCCCCTTTGGCTGGTAACCCCCCAAGGAAGTGTGTGGTGTGACATCAAGAGACTTATGTCATAAAACGGAAGGTCCAGGGTTCGATCCTTGGCCGCGTCATACAAAAAGACGTTAAAAGATTGTACTTGTTGTTACCCTGTCTGGCGCTCGGCATTAAGGGGCTAAAACAAGGACTGGTCGGCTCGGAGTCAGTATACTGTGTCTGAGTGGGGTATTCATGTTAAACTGCGGCATGGTATCTCAGTGAGCTAGCACTATAAATCGGCATCAGTCCGGACTAGCACAAGCAGCCACACACACACATACACGTGCATGCACGTCGCTATATAAGTGCAATAATCTTGGACGCGACGTTAAACCCAATTTCACCTCACCTATGTCATAAAACCCACGATGTCCTGCTTCAGAGTGAAAACACATCAGCCTTTGCGGCATGTGAATCTTAATTACTCTGCATTTTCATGTTATGTGTTTGTTCAATTTCTATTCCCCTGTCTTCTTTGCCTGCAATATATGGAAGCACCTGCTGCATCCATTGCGAGCTTCAGCCATCATCTGCCTGTAAAACCTTATCTCCCTCAATGCCAGACAATCAATATTTCTTGTAATTATTGTCCAAGTGTTTAAATGAAGGATGTTTTCATGACTTGAAAATGTTTCTCTCCAGCTTGCAAGGAGTTCTCTCTTGAAGACCAGAGAAATATTTTGTGTGGCTTTTGCCCTTGTGAAACTGATTCAGGAAGTATTCTTGTTTGTTTGTAGCCCCTCTCAGCAACATACCAGTCATTGCAAGACAGGATCGGGTGGTCAGGCTTGCTGACTTGGTTGATGCATGTCATCGCATCCCAATTGCGTGGATCAATGCTCATATCAGTCATTGGATTGTCTGATCCAGACACAATTATTTACAGACCACCGTCATATAGCTGGAGTATTGCTGATTGTGGCGTTAAACAACAAACAAACAAGCATTGTTCATATTGTTTCTGTTACTATGGTTTCAGTGCTGTATTGAGCTTCGTTGCTGGTAGATAATCACAACAGTGTATAATTTTTGCTTTACAGGCAAGAGTAAAGAAGCTGAAATTAAAAGAATCAACAAAGAATTGGCCAACATCAGAAACAAGTTTAAGGGTAAGTAGATAGCCCCTTAACATCATGCTTCCAATCAATCAGCTGTCTGGCATGTCCTGGGTTTGATGCCCCGAGTCGCCCAGTATCCTTGGTTACCATACACAAGCTCTACCGTATGCATTGCTTCAGGCTCTCCTCCCACATCAGCAGGGATAATGCTAGGTTAGGGCCTTGTACTTTTTGCCCCTAAATTTGAAAAATGGCCCACATTTTTAAATACAATGGGGCATTTTAACATTGTGCTGTATGGGCAAGTGTTGGTGTACCCCTGGAATATATGAAATTTTCACATAAAAGGCCCACGTCAAAACAATTCCTGGGGTGAACCCTGCATTACTATGAGAACCTGTAATAAAAATGTACCAATATGTATCAACTTAGAGTCACACTCACTCACTCACCCACCCACTCATTCACTTGCTGTGATATTGCTTGAATATTGGTGTCACATGAACCCCAGCTCACTGAATATCAAATCTGGCATGTCAGCAGCTTTGGTGTTGGAATGTTCTCTGAGTGCAGTGGAAATCACAAGTGTTGTGAAATATGAAGTCCCCGAGTTTTGTCACTATGCTACAGGAAGTCAGGTAGAACATGTGTTTTAGGCCTGAATCAAAATGGACTCAATGGAAAGCAAGCTGTGTGGACCTGTAGAGAACTGAATATTCTGTTACCTTTCTTGTATTTGCTAGTGGTTGTTTTGGCATCACAGTAACATCCTATGTGGAGGATAGATATCGGTGGCAGTAACCTTGCTGCACACTCACTCCTCCAGCCTGACCTCCCTTGTATGTGTCAAAGACTAGCCTACAGACAGCCTGACACACCTCCCTTGTATGTGTCACACTCACAGAGACTAGCCTACAGACAGCCTGACACACCTCCCTTGTATGTGTCAGAGAGACTAGCCTACAGACAGCCTGACACACCTCCCTTGTATGTGTCACACTCACAGAGACTAGCCTACAGACAGCCTGACACACCTCCCTCGTATATGTCACAGAAACTAGCCTACAGACAGCCTGACACACCTCCCTTGTATGTGTCAAAGACTAGCCTACAGACAGCCTGACACACCTATCTTGTGTATGTCACAGAGACTAGCCTACAGACAGCTTGACACACCTCCCTTGTATATGTCAGAGAGACTAGCCTACAGACAGCCTGACACACTTCCCTTGTATGTGTCAGAGAGACTAGCCTACAGACAGCCTGACACACCTCCCTTGTATATGTCACAGAGACTAGCCTACAGACAGCCTGACACACTTCCCTTGTATATGTACAGAGACTAGCCTACAGACAGACTGACACACCTATCTTTTATATGTCAGAGAGACTAGCCTACAGACAGCCTGACACACCTCCCTCGTATATGTCAGAGAGACTAGCCTACAGACAGCCTGACACACCTCCCTTGTATATGTACAGAGACTAGCCTACAGACAGCCTGACACACCTATCTTGTATATGTCACAGAGACTAGCCTACAGACAGCCTGACACACCTATCTTGTATATGTCACAGAGACTAGCCTACAGACAGCCTGACACACCTATCTTGTATATGTCAGAGAGACTAGCCTACAGACAGCCTGACACACCTCCCTTGTATATGTTACAGAGACTAGCCTACAGACAGCCTGACACACCTCCTGACACACCTCCCTTGTATATGTTACAGAGACTAGCCTACAGACAGCCTGACACACCTCCCTTGTATATGTCACAGAGACTAGCCTACAGACAGCCTGACATACTTCCCTCGTATATGTCAGAGAGACTAGCCTACAGACAGCCTGACACACCTCCCTTGTATATGTACAGAGACTAGCCTACAGACAGCCTGACACACCTATCTTGTATATGTCAGAGAGACTAGCCTACAGACAGCCTGACACACTTCCCTTGTATATGTACAGAGACTAGCCTACAGACAGCCTGACACACCTATCTTGTATATGTCAGAGAGACTAGCCTACAGACAGCCTGACACACCTATCTTGTATATGTCAGAGAGACTAGCCTACAGACAGCCTGACACACCTCCCTTGTATATGTACAGAGACTAGCCTACAGACAGCCTGACACACCTCCCTTGTATGTGTCAAAGACTAGCCTACAGACAGCCTGACACACCTATCTTGTATATGTCAGAGAGACTAGCCTACAGACAGCCTGACACACCTCCCTTGTATGTGTCACAGAGACTAGCCTACAGACAGCCTGACACACCTATCTTGTATATGTCACAGAGACTAGCCTACAGACAGCCTGACACACCTCCCTCGTATATGTCACAGAGACTAGCCTACAGACAGCCTGACACACCTCCCTTGTATAGGTCACAGAAACTAGCCTACAGACAGCCTGACACACCTCCCTTGTATGTGTCAAAGACTAGCCTACAGACAGCCTGACACACCTATCTTGTATATGTCACAGAGACTAGCCTACAGACAGCCTGACACACCTCCCTTGTATATGTCACAGAGACTAGCCTACAGACAGCCTGACACACCTATCTTGTATATGTCACAGAGACTAGCCTACAGACAGCCTGACATACTTCCCTTGTATATGTCAGAGAGACTAGCCTACCTACAGCCGACTAGAAAGAGGATTGGCAAATTGTTTGTCAAGAATTGTAGCTCATGCTATCAACCACTGGTTTGCCAGATTTGATTATTTACAGGCTGCTTTGATATAACTGGAGTATTAGTGACCATTGCATAAGAAATAAAACAGTAAGGAAACTGTCATTGTATTCTGGAAAATATGCAACTATTAGTTGCAAAAACCTATTAAAAATACTGAAAACCACGCCTATTCACACACCTCCAGGCCTCATTGTGCAGGGTTTCCATTTATTGGATATGAAAAGAAAACATTCACACCCTCAAGGATTCGTTAAGTTTTCCTTTCACAAGAAGAAGTAATGGGGTTACAATGTAGGCAACATGTCCTCCAGTGGCCAGGGTGTGGACTAGGGGGCGATGCTCCATGTGTTTTGTAATGTTGGGTAAATGTCAGCCAGATGGCGGGGGCACTGCCTGCTGTAGGCATGTACACCAGTCTGCAACATACACACACACATATATACAGCTATGTGTGTCACTGTCTGCTTCGTGTAGCACACTTGCTGGCTCAGCTTCTCCATGCCACCTTAGAAATTGGCACTCGTCCTGTATACATGTGTATAGGGCTGCAACGAATACACTATGAGGCGAATACGATTTGTATCATGAATATAGGGTAACGAATACGAATATTTATTCACGAATACAATAACAAGTCAGAAGCTGATGTATTATTTGTTATATTCAGTGAAGCAATAACAACATACATTATTTAACATGGTTTGTTAATGATTAATATATTATACATTTATATAATGCACTTACACAGGTTCTCGTATCTGCTCAAATGTGACAATGACTAGTGACCACAATACTGTCAAATTAAATAGTATAAGTGTGTTGTCTTTTGAAGAAATTTATGCATATAATATTTTCTTATGGATATTTTTATGTAAATGCACATGCTTGCATATACATAAATATTTGATTCTAGTGACCACAAATACAGAATTCAATTCATGAATGGATACGATTTGATTCACCGAACACAAGAGTGAATCGTAACAGCCCTAGTCCTGTAGTCCTTGTCAAATTATATAAAATATATAATAGTTAAGGTATCATAAGGACCAGTAAAGATTTGTCATTTTTATGGGTTTTGCTCTCTGTTATCATTATAAGGACTAATGGACTAAAACTGTTAGTTTCTCCCACTGCCATGTCTCTGGTGTCATGAGGTTTTGCCGCTATACTGTTTGCATCTAGAGCCCCTAAATCTTTGTCTTCCAGTTGCAGCATCAAGGTTATATCATGGACACCTTGACTTCCATGCTTAATGGTGACCACGTTTTACCATTGTACAGCACAGGCCTCAATTTATCTGTATAATACATGCACAGGTGCAACCTGTTATTGAAAAGGGGAACCTCGGCGGTAGAAGCTAACATCTTTAGTCCACTGGTTCTTATAATGATAACATATAACAAAACCCTTAACAATTTCTACTAGTCCTTATGATACCATAACTATTGGGCAGATTGGCAAGGACTATGGGACTAGTGTCAATTTCTAACACTGAACCTAATATTTGTCACATCATGGATCTTTGAACACATTACCTCTCAGCTTTATTTACTATACTACATCACTAATCCCTGTGTTTTGTGAATTTTCATGCTTTCTTTGGCTTGACATCACAAAATGGTGGACACTTCAAGATTATGTGCACGTTCCTGAAACTTTCTGCAGCAATATGCCATTAATTTGTGTGACACGAGCAGCAGACCTACCTGTGTTTCAACTTTGATAAATTTATGGGATCACCGTGTTTTGTCTGGTGCAACTAGGTTTTCATGTCAACATGCACCTGGTGCAAGTTAATCAAGTCCTGCAGTTGGATGTCACAGGGTCTTGTCACTGCTGCTAACAGGTTAAGTTTTGTGGGCCAATAGCTTTAGTACAACAGCCGGACACAACAAGGTCCTTGGGACCCCTCTTGTTCAACATCGTCTTCCCCAAAATCAACAGATGAATCCTCTTTAAGATTGCAATACAAAAATATTTTGATCACTTCATAAACATGATGTTACCTTAACTGCTGTGGGTTCCAGATTCTCCAAGAGAGTTCATTAATGTTTGGGGGTAAATTCCAAAATAATTATCTTCCTTGTCCTACTTCGGGGTTGTTGTTTTTCATTTTATCAATTGTGTGTACTATTGTCCTGAAAACTGCTAACAGTCTTCCATGACAGGTGCAGTTTTCAGGACAAAAGTACAGGACTGCTAACAGTCTTCCAAAACAGGTGGGGGCGGTCGGGTAGCCTAGTGGTTAAAGCGTTCGCTCGTCACGCCGAAGACCCTGGTTCGATTCCCGACATGGGTACAATGTGTGAAGCCCATTTCTGGTGTCCCCCGCCGTGATATTGCTGGAATATTGCTAAAAGCGGCGTAAAACCATACTCACTCCATGACAGGTGACACTCATGTGTTAATCTAATTGATTTGACCATGTTGGGACTCAGTGTGTACACACACATGGTGGAGATTGCATGGCAAGGAGAGACTGATTATCAGGGTAATGAAGACGGCAGTTGGATTTGTTTGGTTTGATGCTAACAAGTTTCAATTTGATTTCAGCATGAATTAATGTCAGTGTGCAACTGAAGTGTTAGACTGAGCGTGTATGATCTGGTGAGAATGATGTGTAATGTTGTTTATTAACTCAGAACTGTAATTTATCATCAGTGATAGACTTGGACTCATGCAGGCTGTGACTTAATCCACTTGTCTGAAGCCCTTGTCATGTAAAGTTGTGTTTGGTCTTGTAGGCTTAGCTAAAAGTAGTACACATTGTAACACTCGACTTGAAAAAGATGCTCAGAGCCAAGAGCCAAAATAAACACCTACATGCGTTGGATGTTTTTGATGTGTTAAACTAAAGACAGTACCGTAAACACCAACACCAGAAGTACCATGCCAACAAATTTGTACTGAAGTACCCATTTTATCCTGTTATTACAGTGATCTGATAAATCTGTTTACAAAATGTGTTCATTGTGCATCTGGACTTAGGGTAATAATCTATTTTATTGTTATTTTATTAAAATTTTATTCAATATTGTTCACATGAATTTTTACGAAATAGTGTGTATCGTGAACCAACTCACGGTTATTTTCAGCAACCACTGTCAGATAATCACTATTGGCGCCCTGAAACGAACCTCCAGCAACAGAGAGTGGATAGATGTATGATATGTTCCTGACGTTGACTTGCTGAAAGTCATTTCTTGTAGTTTGACTATTATGTGTCAACATAAAGTTTTCGTGTTCAGAATGGCTAGATCGCGGGAAGTTTCCACTGTGACTGGTCAAACGGTTCCATTTGTAAAATATAATCAGCTGTACCAAAGTAAAATATGCCTCAGGAGGATGTGTTTAGGTACACAGCCTACTGTCTGGGTGTGACGTGATCACTATGTGATATGGCTGTTATATCATGTTGATAGCACAGAGAACATGTCAATAGAGATATGATAACACGATAACACATACATGTGAGCTTTGCTGGTAATGTCTCTGAGACACTCTGTGTTATCACCAAACTGTAAATACAATCATTACACAGCGTTAGTTTATTGACAGATCTTTTCCTAATTGTCCTGAAATAAATTGGAAACTTGTCAGGGATAAGTAATGTCAAGACAACCCCAAGCATTCTGTGTTTCGGTTAAAAGATTTGGGGAACATGTATACTCTAAACATTTTAAAGGTCGATCGGGTAGCCAAGTGGTTAAAGCGTTCGCTCGTCACACCGAAGACATGGGTACAAATCCTGACATGGGTTCAATGTGTGAAGTCCATTTCTGGTGTCGCCCACCGTGATATTGCTGGAATATTGCTAAAAGCGGCGTAAAACCATACTGACTCACTCACTATAACAATTTACTGTTGATTTATAATGAAATTAACAATCTTTCACAAATACAATCCAAACATGTTTCGCAAGTCAATGACTGATGAACAAAACAACACATTGCAACACTTGCTGGTACACAACCTTCCAGGTATGTGAACTACTCAAAAGAAGTTAAGGATCACCCGATTCTTTCATATTGGTAAACATGGTAAAGGTAATCTGTCATGGCATGAGAGATTAACTATTGTAATATGAAAGAATCAGGTGATCCTTAACTTCTTTTGAGTAGTATATAACAGAACTCCACACAGCCAACATGGTGTATGGTAGCAGGCAGATTAAGTAAAGCCCATGTTATAAATCAGTTACACTTCAGTTTGTTGCTTCATGGTGCAACCAGGGCTTGAGGGATTATGTTCCATTCAGCCTAAGACCACCTATAAACCTCGATCCCGCTGCCGTCGTAATCCTGGGAAAGTCTGTGCTGACATTGAAGGGTGCTTGTGGTTGTCATTAATGTTTCATGGTCGTTTTGCAGTCAAGGTGAAGTCATTACTGTTTCACAGAATTGAATTTCAAGGATGGGTGGTGTTTTCTCTACAGGGTCAGGTTTCCTTCTTCTCCATGAACTATGTTTTGTTGAAGACACTCATTGCTTGTATGCTGTGGAGGATGGCATCAGAGATGGACCCCGTCTCTTCGTTTGCCTCCTCCTCACCAAGGCACAAATCTATAGTCACTGCTCTGTAACTCACCAACTCACCCTCAAGTATTCACTCACCGACTTGCCCGTTCAGTCACTGACTCAACCAATCATACATTCACTCACCATCTCACCCATTCACTTACCATGCTTACCGACTCGCTTGTTCACTTGATGTCTCGCTACGTCACCATGCTGTACTAACCTTTTACTTAGTCACTATGCTCCATCTCGCCCTACCTTACCCCACCCTGCACCCTGCCCTATCTTGTTCTTCGTTGTGCCAACTTAGCCTACCTTACCCACCTTACCCCACCCTTTCCCACCTTACCAAACCTTCCCCCACCTTACCCCACACTCCTCATCTTACCCCACATTGCCACACCTTACCCCACCCTCCCCCACCTTGCCCCACCCTTCCCCACCTTACCCCACCCTTTCCATCTTACCCCACATTGCCACACCTTACCCCACCTTGCCCTACCCTCCTACCTTACACCACCTTGCCCCACCCAACCATGTTCCCCCACATTGCCCCACCCAACCATCTTCCCCCACATTCCCCCACCTTACCTAATATTGCCCCACCCTCCTCCACCTTACCCCACCTTGCCCAAACCTTCCCCACCTTACCCCATCCTCTCCCATCCTCTCCACCTTGCCCCACCTTTTAGTCAAGGCAGCACCTCCTCAGGGCTCTCCTGACCATGAGTCTTGTTTTGTTGAGCTATTGATTACTGTAGGAAGCACTGTGGATGTTAGTGGACATGAGGCCTTTGATGCCTGCCACTCTAGGGATGTACTTCCCAGTGCTAGACTGCAATCTGCCATTTACACCAGGACTTGCACTGATAGACCACATCTCCTCAGGGACAAGTTTCCCCAGCCGATCATATTGCTTATTTACGTGTTCATCAAGCTGTTGAATACGAGGAAGATTCTGTGTGCGGTACCACATTTACTCTCTTCAGTTGAGATTGGTTTTCATGTTATGTTACAATTTGGATTTGATTTACATTGAGATGAATCATCAGCTATTATATATATGCAAGATACGTACAATAGTCCAGTTGACAAATGAGGCTTTGCATAATTCAAGGTTCTATTTGTTTATATCATCATATATGATCATGACAAGAGCTTTTAAGTTACAGGGAGATGTCAGTGAACAAGTGTGTGTGTGTGTGTCTCTGTGTGTCTCTGTGTCTGTGTATGTGTGTGAGTGTGTGTGCGTGCGTGCATGCGTGTCTCTGTGTGTGTGTGTGCGTGCGTGTGTCTGAGTGTGTGTGCGTGTGTGCGCGTGTGTGTGCGCGTGCGTGCGTGCGTGTGTGCGTGTGTGTGTGTGTGTGTGAACATTTTTGTATTTCCTTCGTCGTTTTAAAAGTGACTATCATCATGTCAATATTTTGCAAAACAGTTATTTTAAGTATTCAGACTTTGAACGTCGCAAGCTGGTTCAGAAATTTGTCTGTTAGCAACAAAAACAAATTTTTCAAAACCTGTAACATGGTGAATAAAGTCATTGGCATCTCTTTCTAGGATATCAGCGGTATTTTGAACAGCAAATAGTTGATAATGCAGAAACAAATATTAAGGGATAACGAGCATGTTTTACATTGGGAGTATCAACTCCTTCCTACTGGCTGCCGTCTATGATTGCCGATATGGAGAACAAATGTTCATACGAGACTTTAAATTTATAATAAGTTAAGTGATAATAATTATGGTTTGTTCATTCGCTAGTGCCAAATTTAATGTCAATTACAATTGTGTTTATTATTGTTCAAAGCAGTTTTAAGCCAAACGCACACACTCAGCAGCAAAAACTGCTGTAGTGGCTCGTATGTTGACACTCCCATACTGTTTGTCACTTGATGGAAGGAAAGGGTCCAGAGAACTACTAACAACAGAGTTGAAGATTAAGAATGACAGATGTCCTTTTCATAAAACTGATGTCATGAATCAAGTTTGGGGGTTGGTTTCCAGTGCAGAAAGACAGGAGTGACCTCTTAATTTAAGATTGGAAGAGTTGGGTAGCCTAGTGGTTACGGTGTTGATTAATTGACTGGCAGACCTGTGTTCGAATCCCCACATGGGTACAATATGTGAAGCCCCACCCTGATATGATTTGAATATAGTTTAAGGTGGCTTAAGACCCTATTCACTCCTCACACTGACTGTTTGTTGTTTATTGTCGCACTCAGCAGTATTCCAGGTTTATGACGGTGGCCTTTACTGACGGCACTGGAGAGGCCGTTCATGCTTAAAGGTGGTGCCTGTCGTAATGGATGACTATCTGTTGCAGGAGACAAGACCCTCGATGGCTACCAGAAGAAGAAATATGTCTGCAAGCTGCTGTTCATCTTCCTGCTCGGACACGACATTGATTTCGGTCACATGGAGGCAGTCAATCTTCTCAGCTCCAACAAATATACAGAAAAACAGATTGTGAGTATCAGGATTTCCCAATACCAAAAAATCAACAATCCCATTACCAGATAAATCCCCCCAAGGGCAGTACGTGTTTTTTGACTGAATAGTGATTACCTTTCTTCACTTGTTTATTCAAATGTTCAAAGAATGTTGTTCTTTGAACTGCTTATGTTGAAAGTCTGCCAACAACATAGTATTCCCTGTTGCTGTTTCCGTCACACAAAGAAATTGAAAACTACAAGCGGCGCAGTAGCGAGAAATACATTTGCTGATATGATTTAAATAGAGTTTTATGTACAGGTTTTTGAAGGAGGCTTTCAGATTTACTCATTTGTGAGGATGTTCTGAAAATTTGTTTAATAATTATGTTCATAAAATCACGATGGTGGGTCATTGGGTTAATTACCTGTCTTGTCTTGCTGGGCTCGATTCCCTACACCACCGTAGACATCTGGGAAAGAATAGGTCTTCATGCATGCCAGAAGAGGTGATTGTGCTTGTCGTAAGAGGTGATTGTGCTTGTCGTAAGAGGTGATTGTGCTTGTCGTAAGAGGTGATTGTGCTTGTCGTAAGAGGTGACTTATCCTTGTTGTAAGAGGCGACTAATGGGATCAGGTGGTCAGACTCGCTAACTTGGTTGAAGCATGTTATTGTCAATGCAATGCTCATTATATCAATCACTGGATTGTCTGGCCCAGACTTGATTATTGACAGACCACCATCATATAGCTGGAATTATTTTAGTAACCACAAATTTGTTAAAATCTGATGGCTTCCCCCATAAACATCTCCAAATTTTGGACCACTCTCCATTGCAAAGAAGTTTCAGCTGAAAAGGAAAATATCCATTTTCATCCCTGAACCACTAACTCACTCACTCACTCACTCACTCACTCACTCACTCACTCACTCACTCACTCACTCACTCTGTCTGCAGGGCTACCTGTTCATCTCCGTGCTCATCAGTGCTAGCAGTGATCTCATGAAGCTGGTCATACAGTCAATCAAGAATGACCTCGGCAGTCGCAACCCCATCCACGTCAACCTGGCACTGCAGTGCGTCGCCAACATCGGCAGCCGTGAGATGGCCGACACTCTCAGCTCCGACATTCCTAGGCTGCTGGTCTCGGGGTAAGACACAAAACAAGTTTTGTAACCAATGGAATTTAAACTAAAGCACAGGTGGGGGCACCTGTTACCCAGTTAGCTGAGGTGCTGCAAGGATTTGTATCCCACAGAGATGCCACAATCCTATGATCCTGTGTTCAAATCCCTGATTTGTCCAAATAAAGGTTTGCGATGTTACTGCATCATACGACAGGTAATCTGTGCATGTCGGTTTTTCCAAAGTGGTAAACAGCCATCACTGCAAAACTGCAAACCTTTCATAGACTGAAATACTGTCCTAAGCATAGTACCTATGCTCATTTCTTTGTTTCATTGTATGGTAGAAAGTTGTTACTGAAATAAAAAAGATAGTGATTCAATTTGCCTCCCAGCATCACATCGTTGAGATCTCAGTTCCATCCCTCCCAGTTCCCCAATATTTCTTACATCTAGTTGATGAAGGTTATTGGAAACAAGTGATGTTTTCCCGCCTTGCGCATGCACAGATGCAGTGTGACAAAGTATAGGCTCTACCTCAAAACTATTGGGATAAATTGGCAGCGTAGAGGACGTCTGTTGAAAAAAAATAAAGATTTTATAGTGTGATTATTGTAAAAACGGAATTTATGGCTATGAGGTAGTATTCTCAGAATTATACACAGTGATAGCTATTGTTTGATTACTGAAATAAAAAAGATAGTGATTCAGTTTGCCTCCCATGTCACATCATTGAGATCTCAGTTGCATCCCTAGAGATGAGGGTTTGTTGTGTTGAGATTCTCCTGGAATAGAAACCTAACTGATGATATGAAACAAGATCCCCCTGATGACCCCGCAGGATCAGTGATGCTAAAAATGTGAAAAATAAGTCATAAGAATAAATTTCATGCAAGTCTGTTCCAGTGATATGATCCACTTTGTGTTGAGAAAAGAGTTGTTAACAATGATACGGATCACTCTCAGTATTCCTCAGAGACCTGTGTGTTATCTCCAGTATATATTATCATTGATATTTTAGACCCATTCCATACTGTAACTTCGATTTGAGTTTCATTTGAATGACTGTGCTAAATTCTGAGAGTGACATTCTGCGGATTCTACTTATTGACTGTTACAAGCTATGGTAGCGAATGGATCTAGGCTATTTATCACAATATATAAGATAGCTATGCGATAAATCGCAAAGAACAATGAAGAATGAAACCTGGTTTATTTCCTGATAAAACCTTGTTTTATCATGACGCCATTTGTAGGGATTTGAATATGCACTCGCAACTTGATCATGTTGATGGCGTCATATATTGGACGACGTTACTTTTGAGGGGGAAGTGTCCAGTAAGTTGTTCCCCACAGATGTAGCTGGGCTATGCGGATCCTAAGCGTGAGAGATATGACAGTCAGTATTAGGAGAAAAGGTACAGATGATCAAAGTGAGGATTGTGAGAATGTGCGGAAAATACCAAACTTAACCCACCTGTTCGTGAAATGGACTTGTCCGACACTTTTCCTAAGGTCGAATTCGATTCATGGAGTCATCATTTGTAAGATTTGGGTAAATGTTTTTAAAACTTGTACTATTTATCAACATACTTTAGGAGGCTGTACATAATGTTGATATCTCATATAAGAAATAAAAGACAAGTGGGAGTTGTTTATTGTACAATAATACACTGCAGGGAGAAAAAAACACACTGCATTATCAAGGATGTTTTTTTCCTCTGGATACAAAGTAATCCATGAAGATTTCCATTGATGGCAATCCAGGTTCTCACTGCATGCATAATTGCCCTTCCAGCGACACGATAGACTCCGTGAAGCAGAGCGCCGCCCTGACCCTCCTGAAGCTGCTCCGGTCCTCCCACGACCTGATCCCCATGGGGGAGTGGACGTCCCGGATTGTCCACCTGCTCAACGATCAACACATGGTGAGAGACATGCACACTCTGCACACACCTGAATCTAGGGTTCTGACTCTTGGGTTCTGACTCTAGGGTTCTGACTCTAGGATTCTGACTCTAGGGTTCTGACTCTAGGGTTCTGACTCTAGGGTTCTGTCTCTAGGATTCTGACTCTAGGGTTCTGACGCTGTGAAAAACTTTTGTCAATAAAAAATTTAAAATTTCAGATTAAACATCACTAGACATGATGATTTACCATTTTGATTGTATATCTTGTTATGCTAGGCATTGTTTTATGCAGGGATTAAAATCACCATAAATTAAGCCGGAATTAGCAATCGGCTGTACACACGTGATTTCCCAATCTACTGGTGATAACGTGAAAACATACAGAGTAATAGAACGGAAAAGAATTGAGGATGCAATAAGGATTGCATCAACAAGATTAGCTTTGTTAATTCACTACGGATTTGTTCTGGCTTATGTGCCACACATAACATTTTGCTACAGATTTCGAGGACCAAGTTAATACCTTGGCTTAATTGAATTATCTACAGTCATATACGGTACAAGCCACTGAATGTTGCCCCTACAGAAAAACTGTTATCATGTTTAGAGTTCTCAAGCATTATGATAAATATTGAGATGTTTGATAAAGTTTTGTGAGAAATGAACGTTGACCAGCCTCGTTGTTTTTCAGGGCGTTGTGACGTCTGCAGCCAGTCTGATTGAGGCCCTGGTCAAGAAGAACCCAGAAGAATACAAAGGATGTGTCTCATTGGCTGTGTCCAGGCTCAGCAGGGTAAGTCACACCAGCAACAGGGGTGTGATGCAGGTCAGCAGGGGTGTGATGCAGGTCAGCAGGGGTGTGATGCAGGTCAGCAGGGGTGTGATGCAGGTCAGCAGGGGTGTGATGCAGGTCAGCAGGGGTGTGATGCAGGTCAGCAGGGGTACGATGCAGGTCAACAGGGGTGTGATGCAGGTCAGCAGGGGTGTGATGCAGGTCAACAGGGGTGTGATGCAGGTCAGCAGGGATACGATGCAGGTCAACAGGGGTGTGATGCAGGTCAGCAGGGGTGTGATGCAGGTCAGCAGGGATACGATGCAGGTCAACAGGGGTGTGATGCAGGTCAGCAGGGATACGATGCAGGTCAACAGGGGTGTGATGCAGGTCAGCAGGGATACGATGCAGGTCAACAGGGGTGTGATGCAGGTCAGCAGGGATACGATGCAGGTCAGCAGGGATACGATGCAGGTCAGCAGGGATACGATGCAGGTCAGCAGGGATACGATGCAGGTCAACGGGTACGATGAAGGTCAACAGGGGTGTGATGCAGGTCAACAGGGGTGTGATGCAGGTCAGCAGGGATACGATGCAGGTCAGCAAGGATACAATGCAGGTCAGCAGGGATACGATGCAGGTCAGCAGGGATACGATGCAGGTCAGCAGGGATACGATGCAGGTCAACAGGGATACGATGCAGGTCACCAGGGATACGATGCAGGTCAGCAGGGGCACGATGCAGGTCAGCAGGGATACGATGCAGGTCAACAGGGATACGATGCAGGTCAACAGTGATAGGTGGGGTACATATCAAGAGGGGTGCGATGCAGGTCAGCAGGGGTGCGATGCAGGTCAACAGGGTTAGGATGCAGGTCAAGAGGGGTGCGATGCAGGTCAACAGTGATAGGTGGGGTACATATCAAGAGGGGTACGTTTCAGGTCAACAGGGTTACGATGCAGGTCAACAGGGATACGATGCAGGTCAACAGTGATAGGTGGGGTACATATCAAGAGGGGTGCGATGCAGGTCAGCAGGGGTGCGATGCAGGTCAACAGTGATAGATGGGGTACATATCAAGAGGGGTGCGATGCAGGTCAGCAGGGGTGCGATGCAGGTCAACAGGGTTAGGATGCAGGTCAAGAGGGGTGCGATGCAGGTCAACAGTGATAGGTGGGGTACATATCAAGAGGGGTACGATGCAGGTCAACAGGGTTACGATGCAGGTCAACGGATGTGACGGATGATGTGATGAATGGATGATAGAAAAAGAAACATGCCAGCACGCTTGTTGTTTCAGATTGTGACGTCCTCCTACACAGATCTCCAGGATTACACATACTACTTCGTGCCAGCGCCATGGCTCTCCGTCAAACTCCTGCGACTCCTGCAGAACTACCCCCCTCCAGGTGAGACATGCTGCTGTGTTAGGAAACAAGGAAATGGCTCTTTACCTCACTCACTCATGAAATACAGGAGCTATCATCATGTGGCTAGGACTGCCCAGTATACCAGAAAACTGCAATGTGCTTTTCAAACTGTAAATATATTGCTGTGTTCCCCTATGCTGGGTTTAACAAATATAACAAGTTTTGTTATTATTTGTATTGTTTAACCAAATACAATATGAGATGAGAGAATCAAACCAATTCCGGTTTGCCAAACAATGTTAGGGACCCTGGCGCTATGTGGAAGGGCGGCTAGCGAGGGAACACTATACATGTTATGAAAGTGACTCTTGAGTTTATTCTTTTTATTCATGTATGAACATCCAGGACCTCAGATATGAGGTGGGCGTGACCAAAATGCAAATATCCGATTGGCCAAAAAATATTTCCGTATCCCTGGTTAGGGGATACATATTAATTGTGACGTGAGATTGGGTTGGATGGCTCGGGGATGGTCAAGGGCACTGCAGTTATCTGTGCAGAATTGCATCCCTTGGGCGCGCCATAAACTTGTGATCGTGTCTTGGATCCAGTGCACTCCGATTGTGTTTCTTGGTTTGTCAGCACCGTACCCATGGGTTTCACCAAAGTGGTCAACGTCAGAGGCCTCGATCTCTTTGGCTTTTCTCCCACATTGAGCTAACACACCGTGATATAACTGGAATCGTGTTTAAAGCATGTTAAACTGTAAAACCAACTTTCTCACTCTTGTTAGGGCAGTTATGTCTCTCTGCACACAATCTGATGTGTCCTTTTCTTCCACAGAGGACCCAAGTGTGCGGACCAGACTTACCGAGTGTCTGGAGACAATCCTCAACAAGGCCCAAGAACCTCCAAAGTCCAAGAAAGTCCAGCACTCCAACGCCAAAAACGCTGTCCTGTTCGAGGCCATCAACCTCATCATCCACATGGACAGCGATCCCAACCTTCTTGTCCGAGCATGTAACCAGTTGGGACAGTTCCTCCAACACAAGGAAACAAACCTCAGGTGCAGTTGTCTCCTCTTGTTTACCAGTCACCCAGCCACAACAAGGAAATGATTAGATTTTCAACCATGCCGGCCTCACTCCATTTCTCCTTGCATCTTTTTATAATTCCTGCAGAGGGAGAAAACAAATTTCCTTGCTTCATCAACACGGATGCTTTGTTCAGTTTGTTAAGAAATGTCAATCAGGTCTTGTTTTTTTATAAGAAATTGATAAAAGTCTAATCAGTTTTTTGTGGCTGGGTGAAAAGGTAGCTAAGTGGGAAGGATGTTTGGTGGGAATGTCAGAGACCAGATTTGTTTTCCAATTAAATGTAAAGCCCATTCTTGGTGTTCCGAGAGATACAAAATAGCACTAGTCCTATAGTCCTTGCCAAACTGCCCATAGTTGAGGTATCATAAGGACCAGTAGAAATGTTCCAATTTTAAGTGTTTGGCTACGTGTTACTTTAAAGGACTAGTATGTTTTTTCTATCCCTATGTTCCCCACCCTGATGTTCTGAAACACTGAGTCCTGATAGTGATGTCCAATCCATTTCCTGACATTCAACAGTCATCATTGGTCACACAGTCGCCATGTGGCTGGTGGTTAACACCTGGGAGGGAGCCAGTGAGCTTTTTTACCTCTTTAGTGACAAGTTATTTCTGGGTTTATTTTTGTTTTTGGCACAGGCTTTTAGGAAAAGTAAGTATTGCTAAACAAAATCTGATATGTTTGTATCAACGTAGGTGAAAATCATAATGACATGTGTTGATGAAATATGTTGTGAATGTTGCGTGATGTTGATCCTGCAATGTGTCCATGTTGTGTGGTGTTCATGCTGCGATGTGTTTGTGTTGTGTGGTGCAATGCGTTCATGCTGTGATGTGTTCATGCTGCGATGTGTTCATCTTGTGTGATGTTCATGTTGTGTGATGTTCATGTTGTGTGATGTTCATGTTGTGATGTGTTCATGTTGTGTGATGTTCATGTTGTGATGTGTTCATGTTGTGTGATTTTCATGTTGTGTGATGTTCATGTTGTGTGATGTTCATGTTGTGATGTGTTCATGTTGTGTGATGTTCATGTTGTGTGATGTTCATGTTGTGTGATGTTCATGTTGTGTGATGTTCATGTTGTGTGATGTTCATGTTGTGATGTGTTCATGTTGTGTGATGTTCATGTTGTGATGTGTTCATGTTGTGTGATTTTCATGTTGTGTGATGTTCATGTTGTGATGTGTTCATGTTGTGTGATGTTCATGTTGTGTGATGTTCATGTTGTGTGATGTTCATGTTGTGTGATGTTCATGTTGTGATGTTTTCATGTTGTGTGATGTTCATGTTGTGTGATGTTCATGCTGCGATGTGTTTGTGTTGTGTGGTGCAATGCGTTCATGCTGCGATGTGTTCATCTTGTGTGATGTTCATGTTGTGAGGTGTTCATGTTGTGAGGTGTTCATGCTGCGATGTGTTCATGTCACATGATGTTCATGCAGCTCGCTGTTCATGTTGCAGGTACCTTGCGCTGGAGAGCATGTGTCTGTTGGCCACGTCCGAGTTCTCTCACGAGGCAGTCAAGAAGCACCAGGACACGGTCATCACTGCCCTCAAGGTCAGTCTACAGCAGGCCATGTGTAGAAAGGGGGCCTAGATTCAAGTACCACTGCAGCACACTCCAGTGTACCATGTGCCTCACATAGCAGTGTGTTCATGGCACAGTGCATACGTGTGTGGTCTGGTGAAGGAATATCGTCCTGCATGTTTGCAGAGATCACTATCAGAACGCAGACTTGTTATTCAGAATTCAAAACTGAAAACGTTTTGATGTACACTTGTTGATGTAGCAGCTGATACTGGGAATGCCTTACCTGTTGATCTCAAATCTGCCTCTTCTGACTGACATCACTGTCTACACATCACATTGCGTCAACCTCATCGTCACTTCCATTGTATTACTTCCTCTTGTCTTGTCACGCATGATCATACACTGAGAGGTGTTTACCGCCATACCATAGATGGAACATTATTCTTTTCTTCCTCTTTTTTTATACTACTATTATTATGATTATGATTATTATTATCATTTTTTATCATTTTTATCATTTTTATTATTATTAATTGTATCATCTTGATCTGGCCAACACAATGTTTTCTTGTGGTACAGATCTCCTTGGAATAATGGAATTAAGATATTTTGTCAGTGGTGGTTTGATGTTAACGTCCCCTTCTATGGTGTGCATGTAAAACTGCTCCGTGTTCTGTGCAGACCGAGCGGGACGTGAGTGTGCGGCAACGGGCGGTGGACCTGCTGTACGCCATGTGTGACCGCACCAACGCGGAGGAGATCGTGGGAGAGATGCTAGAGTACCTGGAGACGGCCGACTACTCAATCCGGGAGGAGATGGTTAGTACCGTGTCATGGATGCGATATAGCCAGGTGCTGGAGCAGCTGTCAGTCAGCAAGGCCCCAAGGCAGATATTAAGTAAGAATGTCGTGAGAGGCGACACTCCCGGGTGGTCAAGGGACTTTGTGTGTGTCATTATATCTAGATGGGTGGGATGTTTCAATTACTGTTTTATCTGGTAGGAAAAGATTATCACGTAGGTTTGTTTGTAGATGGTAAATACCCTGTATTAGGAATATGAACATTTTATTTTAGCAAGCCAAATACAAAGTGTTTCTTCCTAATACATCACATTTACCTTCTCCACATACAATCATGATAGCCTATTTATCACATGATGTCATTCTTCAATTCTGCACTCAAAAACCCTCTTCCCATGTCTCCCAAACATTAACTAAACATTGCAAGTTTTCCTAGAATGTGCACATTGATATATCTTACGTCAGAAGCTCAGTGACGTGTCAGTCGGACAGTAACAGTCAGTATAGTTCCAACTGAAACCTGCTAGACACTTGATTTTCAGTTTTGTAGTATTCAATTCATAATGATGGCAATAAGTCCAGTAGTTTCTCCAGATTCCCAATGGTTAATTCTGACTCGATCACCGAATGACAAGTGTGACGCCATGTTTGTTTGGAAACACTAAAGGTTGTCCCACCTGACCTTTGATATTTGCATCTCTATCTGCATATGTGGATAAGGTTTTTATCCGTTGGCTTTATCCTGCCGAGAAACCCACCCATTACATGATAAAGACTTGTTCACATGCATCCTTCAGTTGAAGTATTGATGACTGTGGCCTTGATTAACAAACAAGTGGTGACCATGACAACTGTAGTTGTGGTATCTATGGCATAATACTCAACTCAAATTTTAAGTGAAACTGAACTATCGGTTGGTCATAAGATTTAAACAAAGGTATACGTGACCGGAAAGTAGTGCCCATTGTGTTTTGTATACATGACCGGAAAGCAGTGTCCATTGTGTGTTGTGTACGTGACCCGAAAGCAGTGTCCATTGTGTGTTGTGTACGTGACCGGAAAGCAGTGTCCATTGTGTGTTGTATACGTGACCAGAAAGCAGTGCCCATTGTGTGTTGTATACGTGACCAGAAAGTAGTGCCCATTGTGTGTTGTATACGTGACCAGAAAGTAGTGTCCATTGTGTGTTGTATACGTGACCGGAAAGCAGTGCCCATTGTGTGTTGTATACGTGACCGGAAAGCAGTGCCCATTGTGTGTTGTGTACGTGACCAGAAAGCAGTGTCCATTGTGTGTTGTGTACGTGACCAGAAAGCAGTGTCCATTGTGTGTTGTATACGTGACCAGAAAGCAGTGCCAATTGTGTGTTGAATATGTGACCGGAAAGTAGTGCCCATTGTGTTTTGTATACGTGACCAGAAAGCAGTGTCCATTGTGTGTGGTATACGTGACCAGAAAGCAGTGCCCATTGTGTGTTGAATACGTGACCGGAAAGCAGTGCCCATTGTGTTTTGTATACGTGACCAGAAAGCAGTGTCCATTGTGTGTTGTATACGTGACCAGAAAGCAGTGCCCATTGTGTGTTATGTACGTGACCGGAAAGTAGTGCCCATTGTGTGTTGTGTACATGACCAGAAAGCAGTGTCCATTGTGTGTTGTATACGTGACCGGAAAGCAGTGCCCATTGTGTGTTGTATACGTGACCAGAAAGCAGTGCCCATTGTGTGTTGTGTACGTGACCGGAAAGCAGTGCCATTGTGTGTTGTATACGTGACCAGAAAGCAGTGTCCATTGTGTGTTGTATACGTGACCAGAAAGCAGTGCCCATTGTGTGTTGAATACGTGACCGGAAAGCAGTGACCAGAAAGCAGTGTCCATTGTGTGTTGTATACGTGACCAGAAAGCAGTGTCCATTGTGTTTTGTATACGTGACCAGAAAGCAGTGTCCATTGTGTGTTGTATACGTGACCAGAAAGCAGTGTCCATTGTGTGTTGTATACGTGACCAGAAAGCAGTGCCATTGTGTGTTGTATACGTGACCAGAAAGCAGTGCCATTGTGTGTTGTATACGTGACCAGAAAGCAGTGCCCATTGTGTGTTGTGTACGTGACCAGAAAGCAGTGCCATTGTGTGTTGTATACGTGACCAGAAAGCAGTGCCCATTGTGTGTTGTATACGTGACCAGAAAGCAGTGTCCATTGTGTGTTGTATACGTGACCAGAAAGCAGTGCCCATTGTGTGTTGTGTACGTGACCGGAAAGCAGTGCCATTGTTTGTTGTGTACGTGACCAGAAAGCAGTGCCATTGTTTGTTGTATACGTGACCAGAAAGCAGTGCCCATTGTGTTTTGTATACATGACCAGAAAGCAGTGCCCATTGTGTGTTGTGTACGTGACTAGAAAGCAGTGCCATTGTTTGTTGTATACGTGACCAGAAAGCAGTGCCATTGTGTGTTGTTTACGTGACCAGAAAGCAGTGCCCATTGTGTGTTGTATACGTGACCAGAAAGCAGTGTCCATTGTGTGTTGTATACGTGACCAGAAAGCAGTGCCCATTGTGTGTTGTATACGTGACCAGAAAGCAGTGCCCATTGTGTGTTGTATACGTGACCAGAAAGCAGTGCCATTGTTTGTTGTGTACATGACCAGAAAGCAGTGCCAATTGTGTGTTGTATACGTGACCAGAAAGCAGTGTCCATTGTGTGTTGTGTACATGACCAGAAAGCAGTGCCAATTGTGTGTTGTATACGTGACCAGAAAGCAGTGCCCATTGTGTGTTGTATACGTGACCAGAAAGCAGTGCCATTGTTTGTTGTATACGTGACCAGAAAGCAGTGCCCATTGTGTGTTGTATACGTGACCAGAAAGCAGTGCCATTGTGTGTTGTGTACGTGACCGGAAAGCAGTGCCATTGTGTGTTGTAAACGTGACCAAAAACAGTGCCCATTGTGTGTTGTGTACGTGACCAGAAAGCAGTGTCCATTGTGTGTTGTGTATGTGACCAGAAAGCAGTGCCATTGTGTGTTGTATACGTGACCGGAAAGCAGTGCCATTATGTGTTGTAAACGTGACCAGAAAGCAGTGCCCATTGTGTGTTGTGTACGTGACCAGAAAGCAGTGTCCATTGTGTGTTGTGTATGTGACCAGAAAGCAGTGCCATTGTTTGTTGTATACGTGACCAGAAAGCAGTGCCCATTGTGTGTTGTATACATGACCAGAAAGCAGTGCCCATTGTGAGTTGAATACGTGACCAGAAAGCAGTGCCCATTGTGAGTTGTGTACTGTCCAGAAAGCAGTGCCCATTGTGAGTTGTGTACGTGACCAGAAAGCAGTGCCATTGTGTGTTGTGTACGTGACCAGAAAGCAGTGCCCATTGTGTGCTGTGTACGTGACCAGAAAGCAGTGCCCATTGTGTGTTGTATACGTGACCAGAAAGCTGTGCCCATTGTGTGTTGAATACGTGACCAGAAAGCAGTGCCCATTGTGTGTTGTATACGTGACCAGAAAGCAGTGCCCATTGTGTGCTGTGTACGTGACCGGAAAGCAGTGTCCATTGTGTGTTGTATACGTGACCAGAAAGCAGTGCCCATTGTGTGTTGTGTACATGACCAGAAAGCAGTGCCCATTGTGTGTTGTATACGTGACCAGAAAGCAGTGTCCATTGTGTGTTGTATACGTGACCAGAAAGCAGTGCCCATTGTGTGTTGTATACGTGACCAGAAAGCTGTGCCCATTGTGTGTTGTATACGTGACCAGAAAGCAGTGTCCATTGTGTGTTGTATACGTGACCAGAAAGCAGTGCCCATTGTGAGTTGTATACGTGACCAGAAAGCAGTGCCCATTGTGAGTTGTCTTTCCAGGTTCTCAAGGTAGCAATCTTGGCTGAGAAATATGCAGTAGACTACACTTGGTACGTTGACGTCATCCTCAACCTCATCAGGATCGCTGGAGACTACGTCAGTGAGGAGGTCAGTGGTTCTTTATTGGAATGAGACTTACCAAGGGCGATCCCTTTTTTAGCTTCCTTGTTGAATTCAAACAGTTTTGTTGTATAAAGTCCATACCCAATACAAACTTTTTTAACTTCATTCAGTATGTACACCGTCAGTGTGGTGGTGTTAGCTACACATCAAAGTTGATGTGGGGTTCCGAGTGTTTATGAGAGCTGAGTATGTGAAGTAATCTGTCACGTCAAAAGGTCAAATTTCCCTTTGAAAAAAACAACAAATTTCTGTTGAGAGGTATGTAGTATTGACCACTCCCCCTGTGTAAGTACACAATTAGTATTGACCACTTCCCCTGTGTAAGTACACATGTAGTATTGACCACTCCCCTGTGTAAGTACACATGTAGTATTGACCACTCCCCTGTGTAAGTACACATGTAGTATTGACCACTCCCCCTGTGTAAGTACACATGTAGTATTGACCACTCCCCCTGTGTAAGTACACATGTAGTATTGACCACTCCCCTGTGTAAGTACACATGTAGTATTGACCACTCCCCCTGTGTAAGTACACAATTAGTATTGACCACTCCCCCTGTGTAAGTACACATGTAGTATTGACCACTCCTGCTGTGAAGGTACACATGTAGTATTGACCACTCCCCCTTTGTAGGTACACATGTAGTATTGACCACTCCTGCTGTGAAGGTACACATGTAGTATTGACCACTCCCGCTGTGTAAGTACACATGTAGTATTGACCACTCCCCCTGTGTAAGTACACATGTAGTATTGACCACTCCTGCTGTGAAGGTACACATGTAGTATTGACCACTCCCCCTGTGTAAGTACACATGTAGTATTGACCACTCCCCCTGTGTAGGTACACATGTAGTATTGACCACTCCCCCTGTGTAAGTACACATGTAGTATTGACCACTCCCCCTGTGTAAGTACACCTGTAGTATTGACCACTCCCGCTGTGTAAGTACACATGTAGTATTGACCACTCCCGCTGTGTAAGTACACATGTAGTATTGACCACTCCCCCTGTGTAAGTACACATGTAGTATTGACCACTCCCCCTGTGAAGGTACACATGTAGTATTGACCACTCCCCCTGTGTAAGTACACATGTAGTATTGACCACTCCCCCTGTGTAAGTACACATGTAGTATTGACCACTCCCCCTGTGTAAGTACACATGTAGTAATGACCACACCCCCTGTGGAGGTACACATGTAGTATTGACCACTGCTGCTGTGTAAGTACACATGTAGTATTGACCACTCCCCCTGTGTAAGTACACATGTAGTAATGACCACTCCCCCTGTGGAGGTACACATGTAGTATTGACCACTCCCCCTGTGTAAGTACACATGTAGTAATGACCACTCCCCCTGTGAAGGTACACATGTAGTATTGACCACACCCCCTGTGGAGGTACACATGTAGTATTGACCACTCCCGCTGTGTAAGTACACATGTAGTATTGACCACTCCCCCTGTGTAAGTACACATGTAGTATTGACCACTCCCCCTGTGTAAGTACACATGTAGTATTTACCACTCCCGCTGTGTAAGTACACATGTAGTATTGACCACTCCCGCTGTGTAAGTACACATGTAGTATTGACACTCCCGCTGTGTAAGTACACATGTAGTATTGACCACTCCCCCTGTGTAAGTACACATGTAATATTGACCACTCCCCCTGTGTAAGTACACATGTAGTATTGACCACTCCCCCTGTGTAAGTACACATGTAGTATTGACCACTCCCGCTGTGTAAGAACACATGTAGTATTGACCACTCCCCCTGTGTAAGTACACATGTAGTATTGACCACTCCCTCTGTGTAAGTACACATGTAGTATTGACCACTCCCCCTGTGTAAGTACACATGTAGTATTGACCACTCCTGCTGTGAAGGTACACATGTAGTATTGACCACTCCCCCTTTGTAGGTACACATGTAGTATTGACCACTCCCGCTGTGTAAGTACACATGTAGTATTGACCACTCCCCCAGTGTAAGTACACATGTAGTATTGACCACTCCCGCTGTGTAAGTACACATGTAGTATTGACCACTCCCGCTGTGTAAGTACACATGTAGTATTGACCACTCCCGCTGTGTAAGTACACATGTAGTATTGACCACTGCTGCTGTGTAAGTACACATGTAGTATTGACCACTCCCCCTGTGTAAGTACACATGTAGTATTGACCACTCCCCCTGGATAAGTACACATGTAGTATTGACCACTCCCCCTGTGTAAGTACACATGTAGTATTGACCACTCCCCCTGTGTAAGTACACATGTAGTATTGACCACTCCCCTGTGCTTCTCTCCTCAGGTGTGGTACAGGGTCATACAGATTGTCATCAACCGGGACGATGTGCAGGGCTACGCTGCAAAGACAGTATTTGAGGTGAGTCAAGGGAGACAACTCTTGTCACTCGGCAGGTATGACCCGACCTGGAAGTGCAATTGTAGAGAGTAAAGTGGCATATGTCACCACAGGTAAATTTCCAATGAAATTGATGTTTATTAATTACATAATGATAGCCATCCTCGATTATCCCGAGCATTCTGTATCCATACTATTTTATAAATGCACTGGACCCATTCAACACCACAGCTTTATTTGGACCCGTGAAGATCTGGGGTAGAATAGGACTTCAGCAACCCATGCTTGCCATAAAAGGTGACTATGCTTGTCGTAAGAGGCGACTAATGGGATCGGGTGGTCAGGCTCGCTGACTTGGTTGATGCATGTCATCGATTTCAATTGCATTGATCGATGCTGATGATGTCAATCACTGGATTGTCTGGTCCAGACTCGATTATTTACAGATCTCCGTCATATAGCTGGAATATTGCTGAGTGTGCCGTTAAACAACAAACAAACAAAAACAATGTACAATGGACTATACCTGTGACACCAAGGTCGTGAGAAAGACTTGTAACGCCATGTTGACGGTGCTTCTGTTGCCAGGCCCTGCAAGCACCTGCCTGCCACGAGAACATGGTGAAAGTCGGGGGATACATCCTGGGAGAGTTTGGTAACCTCATCGCTGGCGACCCAAGGTCAAGGTAACTAGCCTTCAGTTGCATGGCTCCGTCTATAACTTAAGCCACTAGTACAAGGCTTGAGTCGGAGGATATTACATTTTTCTTTGTACACTGCAAGGATTGCATCTCCATGCTTGCGATGCTGACTGAGATGAGGAATCTGGTCAGCCTCTGTGGCTGATTGTGTGTCACTGTACCAGATGGTGTTTGTTGTGCATGCTTGCAGTCACTGGATTGCCTGGCCCAAATATGATTGTTTAAATGCCACGGTATACATCTGGACTATTGCTGACTCTCGCTCACTTACTTTCTCTTAACTGAATCAGCTGATGGTAGGACTTTCATTCCAGTGAAGATGCCAACTTTGTGCCAAAATATAAGTTATTGGTAGTTAACTTCAACGACTTTGGTGTGAACTGGTGGTTAACATGGTTAAGTTAAAAAATATATTATTTTGCTCTCAAAGTATATATTGTTTTAAAGTTCTTACTTTCTTAAATTCCAGTTATGTTTGATACATCCAGTCCAGTGATGTTTGATACATCCAGTCCAGTGATGTTTGATACATCCAGTCCAGTGATGTTTGCTACATCCAGTCCAGTGATGTTTGCTACATCCAGTCCAGTGATGTTTGATACATCCAGTCCAGTGATGTTTGATACATCCAGTCCAGTGATGTTTGATACATCCAGTCCAGTGATGTTTGATACATCCAGTCCAGTGATGTTTGATACATCCAGTCCAGTGATGTTTGATACATCCAGTCCAGAGACGTTTGATACATCCAGTCCAGTGATGTTTAACAAGCTCTTCAGATTGCTATTTTCCAAGCTGATGTAAAAACCTGAAATGGGAAACCTGTATTCATCTTTGAGAGTCATGAACATTTGCCTAAGAGCAAAGTAGACACATGGCTTAGAGACATCCATCCATCCATCCATACCTCAGAGCCAAGAGCATATATATATATATGTACACATACATACATACACATAAATATTTGCCGGAGAGTTGAGTATATTTCCCTTAGACTTGGAGCCATTTTGTGCATGTGTTACCATGGTTACTGTTGCAGCCCGGTGGTGCAGTTCCAGTTGCTCCACTCCAAGTTCCACCTGTGCGGCCCGGCGACCCGCGGCCTGCTCCTGTCCACGTACATCAAGTTCATCAACCTCTTCCCAGAGATCAAACCCCAGATTCAAGATGTGAGCACACGTTCCTCAAGTGTAGCAGTGTACATGTGTTCCATTGTTAATGTGTATCAGTGTTGTCCCAGTCCAGTAGTCCCTGTGATACCCAGTGATACCACTGAAATACAGGTGTCTGTGTCAGTTGAGGTGAGACGAAATGGGGTTTAACGTCACGTCCAAGATCATTGCACTTCTATTGTGCATGCTCGCGTGCGTGAGTGCGTCCAGACTAATGCCAACTTTATTGTGCTAGCCCACTGAGATACCATGCCACAGGTTGACTTATACACGGTATACGGACTCTGTGCCGAACAGTCCTTGTTTTAGCCCCTTAAAGCCGAGCACCAGGCAGAGTAACAACAAGTACCATCTTTAACCTCTTTTGGTATGGCATGTCCGGGAATCAAACCCCTGGCCTTCAGCTCCCTGGGCGGACACTCTACATTTTACTATATGCAGAGTAAACATGTGTCTGTGTCAGGTGCTGAAGTGCTATGCGAACTATATACAAATTAAACATGTCTATATCAGGTGCTGAAGAGCTATACAAACTATATACAAAGTAAACGTCTCTATATCAGGTGCTGAAGAGCTATATGAACTATATACAAAGTAAACGTCTCTATATCAGGTGCTGAAGAGCTATAAGAACTATATACAAAGAAAACGTCTCTATATCAGGTGCTGAAGAGCTATACAAACTATATACAAAGTAAACGTCTCCATATCAGGTGCTGAAGAGCTATATGAACTTTATACAAAGTAAACGTCTCTATATCAGGTGCTGAAGAGCTATACAAACTATATACAAAGTAAACGTCTCTATATCAGGTGCTGAAGAGCTATACAAACTATAGACAAAGTAAACGTCTCTATATCAGGTGCTGAGGAGCTGTACAAACTATATACAAAGTAAACGTCTCTATATCAGGTGCTGAGGAGCTGTACAAACTATATACAAACTCAACGTCTCTATATCAGGTGCTGAAGAGCTATACGAACTATATACAAAGTAAACGTCTCTATATCAGGTGCTGAAGAGCTATACATACTATATACAAAGTAAACATCTCTATATCAGGTGCTGAAGAGCGACAACAACATGAGAAATCCGGACGTAGAGCTACAGCAGCGTGCAATAGAATATCTCCAGCTGAGTTCAGTTGCCTCTCAAGATGTCCTGGTAAGTTCACTGATACCCAGTTGATACAAATCAGGGAACCAGATTCCTGTGTAGCTAACCAGGCTCAGCCCACTGAAATCATCTTGTAATGAATCTTAGGCAATACTAGGCAACTGATTGTACTGCTGGGAATTATAAGAGAATACTAGGCAACTGATTGTACTGCTGGGAATTATACGAGAATACTAGGCAACTGTTAGTACTGCTGGGAATTATAAGAGAATACTAGGTAACTGTTAGTACTGCTGGGAATTATATGAGAATACAAGGTAACTGTTAGTACTGCTGGGAATTATACGAGAATACTAGGTAACTGATAGTACTGCGGGGAATTATATGAGAATACTAGGCAACTGATAGTACTGCTGGGAATTATACGAGAATACTAGGCAACTGTTAGTACTGCTGGGAATTATACGAGAATACAAGGCAACTGATTGTACTGCTGGGAATTATATGAGAATACTAGGCAACTGTTAGTACTGCGGGGAATTATATGAGAATACTAGGCAACTGTTAGTACTGCGGGGAATTATACAAGAATACTAGGCAACTGTAAGTAATGCGGGGAATTATAAGAGAATACTAGGCAACTGTTAGTACTGCGGGGAATTATACGAGAATACTAGGCAACTGATTGTACTGCTGGGATTTATACGAGAATACTAGGCAACTGATTGTGCTGCGGGGAATTATACGAGAATACTAGGCAACTGTTGGTACTGCGGGGAATTATACGAGAATACTAGGCAACTGATTGTACTGCTGGGATTTATACGACAATACTAGGCAACTGATTGTGCTGCGGGGAATTATACGAGAATACTAGGCAACTGTTAGTACTGCTGGGATTTATACGACAATACTAGGCAACTGATTGTACTCCGGGGAATTATAAGAGAATACTAGGCATCTAAAAGTTCTGCTAGGAATTATATGAGAATACTAGGCAACTGTTAGTACTGCTGGGAATTATACGAGAATACTAGGCAACTATTAGTACTGCTGGGAATTATACGAGAATACTAGGCAACTGTTAGTACTGCGGGGAATTATACGAGAATACTAGGCAACTGTTAGTACTGCTGGGAAATATAAGAGAATACTAAGCAACTGTTAGTACTGCTGGGAATCATACGAGAATACTAGGCAACTGTTAGTACTGCTGGGAATTATACGAGAATACTAGGCAACTGTTAGTACTGCGGGGAATTATATGAGAATACTAGGTAACTGTTAGTACTGCGGGGAATTATACGAGAATACTATTTTGATTTGAAATTTAAATATTCTTATTGCATCACAAAAATACTTGATTGGTTAAATATTGATGTTTTTGTGTGTAATTATTTGCAGCTATGGTTTAGCGTCCGGAATAATGTTCATGAAAACATCACTAATTGATGGGAAACAGAGCAAAGGCTGCCATGCACTACTTAAACCTACTGTCAGATTATGTCATGTCAGAAACACTAAAATAAACCGCATTAAACATGTTTAATGTTGCTTGTTGTGTGACAAGTAATAATAAAAAAAGGATATATATATAGCACATATTTCCACACCACTTAGGGGCATGCTCAAAGCGCTGTTATTACCCCGGTTCCTGGATCAGTGTACATTCAAGAATCATTCTCTGCTCCCTGGGGATTATACAACCCAAGCTGCCTGTAAGGTTCTAGAAGGTTAACAGACACATTGCCATCTCATCCTACCGGGTACCCATTCACTGCTGAATGAACAGAGGCACATGTTTCATACCTTGGATATGGTATGACATTTATCATACCTTGAAACATACCTTGAAACATTATCTTGAAACATCTCATGTTGTGTTGTCAGGCTACAGTATTAGAGGAGATGCCCCCATTCCCAGAGCGGGAATCCTCCATCCTGGCCAAGTTGAAGAAGAAGAAGCCGTCAAGTGTCCCGGAGCAGACTGAGGCCAAGGAGCAACACCGACTTCCTGCCGCCCAGATGAACATCAACGCTGCAGACTCCCAGCCTCCCCCCGTCAGTGTGAGTAACCACCCCTCATACCACCACCCTCCCCTGTCAGTGTGAGTACCCACCCCTCATACATCCACCCTCCCCTGTCAGTGTGAGTACCCACCCCTCATACATCCACCCTCCCCTGTCAGTGTGAGTACCCACCCCTCATACATCCACCCTCCCCTGTCAGTGTGAGTACCCATCTCTCATGCCACCACCCTCCCCTGTCAGTGTGAGTACCCACCCCTCATACATCCACCCTCCCCTGTCAGTGTGAGTACCCACCCCTCATACAACCACCCTCCCCTGTCAGTGTGAGTACCCACCCCTCATACATCCACCCTCCCCTGTCAGTGTGAGTACCCATCTCTCATGCCACCACCCTCCCCCGTCAGTGTGAGTACCCATCCCTCATACAACCACCCTCCCCCGTCAGTATGAGTACCCATCTCTCATACAACCACCCTCCCCCGTCAGTGTGAGTACCCATCCCTCATACAACCACCCTCCCCCGTCAGTATGAGTACCCATCCCTCATACAACCACCCTCCCCCGTCAGTGTGAGTACCCATCTCTCATACAACCACCCTCCCCCGTCAGTATGAGTACCCATCCCTCATACAACCACCCTCCCCCGTCAGTATGAGTACCCATCCCTCATACCACCACCCTCCCCTGTCAGTATGAGTACCCATCTCTCATACAACCACCCTCCCCCGTCAGTGTGAGTACCCATCTCTCATACAACCACCCTCCCCTGTCAGTGTGAGTACCCACCCCTCATACCACCACCCTCCCCTGACAGTGTGAGTACCCATCTCTCATACATCCACCCTCCCCTGTCAGTGTGAGTACCCATCCCTCATACAACCACCCTCCCCTGTCAGTGTGAGTACCCATCTCTCATACAACCACCCTCCCCCGTCAGTATGAGTACCCATCCCTCATACAACCACCCTCCCCTGTCAGTGTGAGTACCCATCCCTCATACAACCACCCTCCCCTGTCAGTGTGAGTACCCATCTCTCATACAACCACCCTCCCCCGTCAGTATGAGTACCCATCCCTCATACAACCACCCTCCCCCGTCAGTATGAGTACCCATCCCTCATACCACCACCCTCCCCTGTCAGTATGAGTACCCATCTCTCATACAACCACCCTCCCCCGTCAGTGTGAGTACCCATCTCTCATACAACCACCCTCCCCTGTCAGTGTGAGTACCCACCCCTCATACCACCACCCTCCCCTGACAGTGTGAGTACCCATCTCTCATACATCCACCCTCCCCTGTCAGTGTGAGTACCCATCCCTCATACAACCACCCTCCCCTGTCAGTGTGAGTACCCATCTCTCATACAACCACCCTCCCCCGTCAGTATGAGTACCCATCCCTCATACAACCACCCTCCCCTGTCAGTGTGAGTACCCACCCCTCATACAACCACCCTCCCCTGTCAGTGTGAGTACCCATCCCTCATACAACCACCCTCCCCCGTCAGTGTGAGTACCCATCTCTCATACAACCACCCTCCCCCGTCAGTGTGAATACCCATCCCTCATACAACCACCCTCCCCCGTCAGTATGAGTACCCATCCCTCATACCACCACCCTCCCCTGTCAGTATGAGTACCCATCTCTCATACAACCACCCTCCCCCGTCAGTGTGAGTACCCATCTCTCATACATCCACCCTCCCCTGTCAGTGTGAGTACCCATCCCTCATACAACCACCCTCCCCTGTCAGTGTGAGTACCCATCTCTCATACAACCACCCTCCCCCGTCAGTATGAGTACCCATCCCTCATACAACCACCCTCCCCTGTCAGTGTGAGTACCCACCCCTCATACAACCACCCTCCCCTGTCAGTGTGAGTACCCATCCCTCATACAACCACCCTCCCCCGTCAGTGTGAGTACCCATCTCTCATACAACCACCCTCCCCCGTCAGTGTGAATACCCATCCCTCATACCACCACCCTCCCCTGTCAGTATGAGTACCCATCTCTCATACAACCACCCTCCCCTGTCATTGTGAGTACCCATCTCTCATACAACCACCCTCCCCTGTCATTGTGAGTACCCACCCCTCATACAACCACCCTCCCCTGTCATTGTGAGTACCCACCCCTCATACAACCACCCTCCCCTGTCATTGTGAGTACCCACCCCTCATACATCCACCCTCCCCTGTCATTGTGAGTACCCACCCCTCATACAACCACCCTCCCCTGTCATTGTGAGTACCCACCCCTCATACAACCACCCTCCCCTGTCATTGTGAGTACCCACCCCTCATACATCCACCCTCCCCTGTCATTGTGAGTACCCATCCCTCATACATCCACCCTCCCCTGTCATTGTGAGTACCCACCCCTCATACAACCACCCTCCCCTGTCATTGTGAGTACCCACCCCTCATACATCCACCCTCCTCAGTCAGTGTGAGTACCCATCCCTCATACAACCACCCTCCCCCGTCAGTATGAGTACCCATCTCTCATGCCACCACTCTCCCCTGTCAGTGTGAGTACCCACCCCTCATACCACCACCCTCCCCTGTCAGTGTGAGTACCCATCCCTCATACAACCACCCACCCCTGTCAGTGTGAGTACCCATCCCTCATACAACCACCCACCCCTGTCAGTGTGAGTACCCATCCCTCATACAACCACCCACCCCTGTCAGTGTGAGTACCCACCCCTCATACAACCACCCTCCCCTGTCAGTGTGAGTACCCATCCCTCATACAACCACCCTCCCCCGTCAGTGTGAGTACCCATCCCTCATACCACCACACTCCCCTGTCAGTATGAGTACCCATCCCTCATACAACCACCCTCCCCTGTCAGTGTGAGTACCCATCCCTCATACAACCATCCTCCCCTGTCAGTGTGAGTACCCATCCCTCATACAACCACCCTCCCCTGTCATTGTGAGTACCCATCCCTCATACAACCACCCTCCCCTGTCAGTGTGAGTACCCATCCCTCATACCACCACCCTCCCCTGTCAGTGTGAGTACCCATCCCTCATACCACCACCCTCCCCTGACAGTGTGAGTACTCATCCCTCATACCACCACCCTCCCCTGTCAGTGTGAGTACCCATCTCTCATACATCCACCCTCCCCTGTCAGTGTGAGTACCCATCTCTCATACAACCACCCTCCCCTGTCAGTGTGAGTACCCATCTCTCATGCCACCACCCTCCCCTGTCAGTGTGAGTACCCACCTCTCATGCCACCCTTCTCTCATGCCACCCACCTCTCATGCCACCCACCTCTCATGCCACCCACCTCTCATGCCACCCACCCCTCATACCACCACCCTCCCCTGTCAGGGTGAGTACGCATCTCTCATACAACCACCCTCCCCTGTCAGTGTGAGTACCCACCTCTCATGCCACCCTTCTCTCATGCCACCCACCTCTCATGCCACCCACCTCTCATGCCACCCACCTCTCATGCCACCCATCTCTCATGCCACCCATCCCTCATGCTACCCACCTCTCATGCTACCCACCTCTCATGCTACCCACCTCTCATGCTACCCATCTCTCATGCCACCCACCTCTCATGCCACCCACCTCTCATGCCACCCATCCCTCATGCCACCCACCTCTCATGCCACCCACCTCTCAAGCACCCACCTCTCATGCCACCCACCTCTCATGCCACCCACCTCTCATGCCACCCATCCCTCATGCCACCCACCTCTCATGCCACCCACCTCTCAAGCACCCACCTCTCATGCCACCCATCCCTCATGCCACCCACCTCTCATGCCACCCATCTCTCATGCCACCCACCTCTCAAGCACCCACCTCTCAAGCACCCACCTCTCATGCCACCCACCTCTCAAGCACCCACCTCTCAAGCACCCACCTCTCATGCCACCCACCTCTCATGCCACCACCCTCTCATGCCACCCATCCCTCATGCCACCCACCTCTCATGCCACCCACCTCTCATGCCATCCATCTCTCATGCCACCCACCTCTCATGCCACCCACCTCTCATGCCACCCATCTCTCATGCCACCCATCCCTCATGCTACCCACCTCTCATGCTACCCACCTCTCATGCCACCCACCTCTCATGCCACCCATCCCTCATGCTACCCACCTCTCATGCCACCCATCTCTCATGCCACCCACCTCTCATGCCACCCACCTCTCATGCCACCCACCTCTCATGCTACCCACCTCTCATGCCACCCACCTCTCATGCCACCCATCCCTCATGCTACCCACCTCTCATGCCACCCATCCCTCATGCCACCCACCTCTCATGCCACCACCCTCTCATGCCACCCACCTCTCATGCCACCCACCTCTCATGCCACCACCCTCTCATGCCACCCACCTCTCATGCCACCCACCTCTCATGCCACCCATCCCTCATGCCACCCATCCCTCATGCCACCCACCTCTCATGCCACCCACCTCTCATGCCACCCATCTCTCATGCCACCCATCCCTCATGCTACCCACCTCTCATGCTACCCACCTCTCATGCTACCCACCTCTCATGCCACCCATCCCTCATGCTACCCACCTCTCATGCCACCCATCTCTCATGCCACCCATCCCTCATGCCACCCATCCCTCATGCTACCCACCTCTCATGCCACCCACCTCTCATGCCACCCATCCCTCATGCCACCCATCCCTCATGCTACCCACCTCTCAAGCACCCACCTCTCAAGCACCCACCTCTCATGCCACCCACCTCTCAAGCACCCACCTCTCATGCCACCCACCTCTCAAGCACCCACCTCTCAAGCACCCACCTCTCATGCCACCCACCTCTCAAGCACCCACCTCTCATGCCACCCACCTCTCATGCCACCACCCTCTCATGCCACCCATCCCTCATGCCACCCACCTCTCATGCCACCCACCTCTCATGCCATCCATCTCTCATGCCACCCACCTCTCATGCCACCACCCTCTCATGCCACCCACCTCTCAAGCACCCACCTCTCATGCCACCCACCTCTCATGCCACCCACCTCTCAAGCACCCACCTCTCATGCCATCCATCTCTCATGCCACCCACCTCTCATGCCACCCTTCTCTCATGCCACCCATCTCTCATGCCACCCATCTCTCATGCCACCCATCTCTCATGCCACCCATCTCTCAAGCACCCACCTCTCATGCCACCCACCTCTCATGCCACCCACCTCTCAAGCACCCACCTCTCATGCCATCCATCTCTCATGCCACCCACCTCTCATGCCATCCATCTCTCATGCCACCCACCTCTCATGCCACCCATCTCTCATGCCACCCATCCCTCATGCCACCCACCTCTCATGCCACCCACCTCTCATGCCACCCATCCCTCATGCTACCCACCTCTCATGCCACCCACCTCTCATGCCACCCACCTCTCATGCCACCCATCTCTCATGCCACCCATCCCTCATGCCACCCACCTCTCATGCCACCCACCTCTCATGCCACCCATCCCTCATGCTACCCACCTCTCATGCCACCCACCTCTCATGCCACCCACCTCTCATGCCACCCACCTCTCATGCCACCCATCCCTCATGCCACCCACCTCTCATGCCACCCACCTCTCATGCCACCCACCTCTCAAGCACCCACCTCTCATGCCACCCACCTCTCAAGCACCCACCTCTCAAGCACCCACCTCTCATGCCACCCACCTCTCAAGCACCCACCTCTCATGCCACCCACCTCTCATGCCACCCACCTCTCATGCCACCCATCTCTCATGCCACCCACCTCTCATGCCACCCATCCCTCATGCCACCCACCTCTCATGCCACCCACCTCTCATGCCACCCATCTCTCATGCCACCCACCTCTCATACCACCACCCTCTCATGCCACCCACCTCTCATGCCATCCATCTCTCATGCCACCCACCTCTCATGCCACCACCCTCTCATGCCACCCACCTCTCAAGCACCCACCTCTCATGCCACCCACCTCTCAAGCACCCACCTCTCATGCCATCCATCTCTCATGCCACCCACCTCTCATGCCACCCTTCTCTCATGCCACCCATCTCTCATGCCACCCATCTCTCATGCCACCCATCCCTCATGCCACCCATCTCTCATGCCACCCATCTCTCATGCCACCCACCTCTCATGCCACCCACCTCTCATGCCACCCATCCCTCATGCCACCCACCTCTCATGCCACCCACCTCTCAAGCACCCACCTCTCAAGCACCCACCTCTCATGCCACCCACCTCTCAAGCACCCACCTCTCAAGCACCCACCTCTCATGCCACCCACCTCTCAAGCACCCACCTCTCATGCCACCCACCTCTCATGCCACCACCCTCTCATGCCACCCATCCCTCATGCCACCCACCTCTCATGCCACCCACCTCTCATGCCATCCATCTCTCATGCCACCCACCTCTCAAGCACCCACCTCTCATGCCACCACCCTCTCATGCCACCCACCTCTCAAGCACCCACCTCTCATGCCACCCACCTCTCATGCCACCCATCTCTCATGCCACCCACCTCTCATGCCACCACCCTCTCATGCCACCCACCTCTCAAGCACCCACCTCTCATGCCACCCACCTCTCATGCCACCCACCTCTCAAGCACCCACCTCTCATGCCATCCATCTCTCATGCCACCCACCTCTCATGCCACCAACCTCTCATGCCACCCATCTCTCATGCCACCCACCTCTCATGCCACCCACCTCTCATGCCATCCATCTCTCATGCCACCCACCTCTCATGCCACCACCCTCTCATGCCACCCACCTCTCATGCCACCAGTCTCCCCTAAATGTCTGACTCATTACCTCTCTGTGCAGGTTTCATCACCAACAAGTTCCGGGTCTGCAATACTCCTTGAGCTGGACTCAGCGGCACCGACATCAGCTCCGGCACCCTCGACTGGATCAGCAGGGTACCTGGTGGATGTCTTCGACTCGCTGGGAGGTGGGGGAGGGGTAGTCGGGACGTCTAATGGCCTGGAGTCCAATGGCACGGCAGCGGGAGACGAGGGCCTCAGAAAGTAGGTAGAAGTGTGTCAGGAAGTGATGCAGCATTTCAGTGGCTGTACTCTGAGATTTGGTGTTAAGATCCCAAGCTGTAGCCACTGAATGTTGCTGTTATGATGATTCAATCACTGGTTTATCTGGTTCAGAGCTCATGTTTTTTTCCAGCTCGATAGCTGGAACGTTGCTGACTGTTGGTTAAACAGCATGTACTCACCAGGGATTTATATAGACACTCAAGGTCCCACATTGGAATTATAACGTTCCCAATTTCATGTAAATATAGTTTTTTAATGTGATGCATTTTTTACCAATAAAGAGGAGGCGCCTTTAAGGCTTACTTTTACATTATTGAAGGCAATGATAATATACAGTGTTAAAAAACCTTAAGAAAAAAACCTTAGAAAAAATGGTAACTTACAAATGATTTCACAGTTTTGAACAAAATAACGCTTTGTTTTCCTATATGCATGTCAAGGGTTCATATTTTGGAATCCTGTATAAATTGCTGACTCGCTATTCCAGGTTCATCTTGAAGCACAACGGGGTGTTGTACGAGAATGACCTGCTACAGATCGGCATCAAGTCGGAGTTCAGACAGAACCTGGCCCGGATCGGTGTCTTCTATGGGAATAAAACATCATTCCAGTTTACTAACTTCAAAGCTGACCTCAACACAACAGGGCCACTTGCTTCAGATATCCTTTACACACATGTGGTAGTAGTGGCAACAGCTTAGTAGCTCCATGCTTGCATGTTTTATGCTTTACAAATAGCAGGAAATCCTCTCCGACAGACACACTCATCACCTTACATCTCCTGGTTGCTGTTCACTTAATTGATCATCCTCCTTGTTACAGCATTCACGATTGTCTGTTTTTATACCACCGTTTACGAAGTAAATCGGGGGTATATAGCGTTCCGTTCGTCCGTCCGTCCGTCCTTCTGTCCATCCTTCCGTCCGAGCTTTTGTACGGCCCATAACTTTTTAACCATGCACCCTAGCTTCAACAAACTTGCTACACACATTTACCACAATGAGTACTTGTGCCTTTTGCTAGTTTGAAGATTCTGAATTTTTTAATTTTTGCCGTTTCCATGGAATCATGGTGAAACATAAATTTTGGGTAGAGTTTTTGTACGATCCATGTTTACAATATTATGTATCCTAGCTTCAGCAAAGTTGCTACATTAAGCGCTATGATTGTTTTTTATCTTTTATAACTTTCTGAAAGTTTTGTCTTTTGCTGTTTTCATGGAAACATGATGGAATTTAGAAATTTTGATGACTGGTTTTGTATAGCTAATATATTTTCAAAAATTGTTTCCACACATGTAGATCATCATAAGTATCTGTGCTTTGTGATAGTTTGAATTTATTAATTCTTTAGATATGACCAGGGTCAGCTGCTAATAGTGTTTATGCTACATTCCAGAAGTTATTGGCAACTAATTTTTGAGCTATCATGCAACCTAGGGGTTGTACTCCATGACTTGCAAATCTAGGCTTTGTGTTTTAAAACCTGCCTGACCAGGGGCTGAACATTATGACCTGTCAAACTGGGGTTTAGCTTCATGACCTGCCAAACTGGGGTTTAGCTTCATGACCTGCCAAACTGGGGTTTAGCTTCATGACCTGCCAAACTAGGGGTTGTGCTTCATGACCTGCCAAACTAGGGGTTGTGCTTCATGACCTGCCAAACTAGGGGTTGTGCTTTATGACCTGCCAAACTGGGGTTGTGCTTCATGACCTGCCAAACTAGAGGTTGTGCTTCATGACCTGCCAAACTGGGGTTGTGCTTCATGACCTGCCAAACTGGGGTTGTGCTTCATGACCTACCAAACTGGGGTTGTGCTTCATGACCTGCCAAACTGGGGTTGTGCTTCATGACCTGCCAAACTGGGGTTGTGCTTCATGACCTGTCAAACTAGGGGTTGTGCTTCATGACCTGCCAAACTGGGGTTGTGCTTCATGACCTGCCAAACTGGGGTTGTGCTTCATGACCTGCCAAACTGGGGTTTTGCTTCATGACCTGCCAAACTGGGGTTGTCCTTCATGACCTGCCAAACTGGGGTTGTGCTTCATGACCTGCCAAACTAGAGGTTGTGCTTCATGACCTGCCAAACTGGGGTTGTGCTTCATGACCTGCCAAACTGGGGTTGTGCTTCATGACCTACCAAACTGGGGTTGTGCTTCATGACCTGCCAAACTGGGGTTGTGCTTCATGACCTGCCAAACTGGGGTTGTGCTTCATGACCTGTCAAACTAGGGGTTGTGCTTCATGACCTGCCAAACTGTGGTTGTGCTTCATGACCTGCCAAACTGGGGTTGTGCTTCATGACCTGCCAAACTGGGGTTTTGCTTCATGACCTGCCAAACTGGGGTTGTCCTTCATGACCTGCCAAACTGGGGTTGTGCTTCATGACCTGCCAAACTGGGGTTGTGCTTCATGACCTGCCAAACTAGGGGTTGTGCTTCATGACCTGCCAAACTAGGGGTTGTGCTTCATGACCTGCCAAACTAGGGGTTGTGCTTCATGACCTGCCAAACTGTGGTTGTCCTTCATGATCTGCTAAACTGGGGTTGTGCTTCATGACCTGCCAAACTGTGGTTGTCCTTCATGATCTGCTAAACTGGGGTTGTGCTTCATGACCTGCCAAACTGGGGTTGTGCTTTATGACCTGCCAAACTGGGGTTGTGCTTCATGACCTGCCAAACTGGGGTTTTGCTTCATGACCTGCCAAACTAGGGGTTGTGCTTCATGACCTGCCAAACTGGGGTTGTGCTTCATGACCTGCCAAACTGGGGTTGTGCTTTATGACCTGCCTAACTCTAGACTGAGCGTAACTTTACTCTCTGTTTTACTCTGTTTTACTCTCTGTTTTACTCCCTGTTTTACTCCCTGTTTTACTCCCTGTTTTACTCTCTGTTTTACTCTCTGTTTTACTCTCAGTATGAGCGCTGTCATAATCTGAGTTGAGACAGAAAGAAAATATCCACTGATGTTGGAATAGTGGTCAGAGTTTCACAATGTGTCCTGAATTTGATGAAATCCCATAACAGACAAGTGTATTGTGCAGTTGTTTCCTTGACGGTCTCACCTCTCCAGATGACGCCGAAGACTGTGGAACCTACAATAGATGGTGGAGCTCAGGTGCAGCAAATGTTCAACATAGAGTGCCTCACTGAGTTCTCACAAAACCCAACTCTAGATATGTCATATATGTAAGTACATCTCACAAAACGCAACTCTAGATATGTCGTATATGTAAGTACATCTCACAAAACACAACTCTAGGTATGTCATATATGTAAGTACATCTCACAAAACCCAACTCTAGATATGTCATATATGTAAGTACATCTCACAAAACACAACTCTAGGTATGTCATATATGTAAGTACATCTCACAAAACACAACTCTAGATATGTCATATATGTAAGTACATCTCACAAAACACAACTCTAGGTATGTCATATATGTAAGTACATCTCACAAAACCAAACTCTAGATATGTCGTATATGTAAGTACATCTCACAAAACACAACTCTAGGTATGTCATTTATAAGTACATCTCACAAAACGCAACACTAGATATGTCATATATGTAAGTACATCTCACAAAACGCAACACTAGATATGTCATATATGTAAGTACATCTCACAAAACACAACTCTAGGTATGTCATATATGTAAGTACATCTCACAAAACGCAACACTAGATATGTCATTTATAAGTACATCTCACAAAACACAACTCTAGGTATGTCATATATGTAAGTACATCTCACAAAACACAACTCTAGGTATGTCATTTATAAGTACATCTCACAAAACGCAACACTAGATATGTCATATATGTAAGTACATCTCACAAAACGCAACACTAGATATGTCGTATATGTAAGTACATCTCACAAAACGCAACACTAGATATGTCGTATATGTAAGTACATCTCACAAAACCCAACTCTAGATATGTCATATATGTAAGTACATCTCACAAAACGCAACACTAGATATGTCGTACATATAAGTACATCTCACAAAACACAACTCTAGGTATGTCATTTATAATTGGATCTCACAAAACACAACTCTAGGTATGTTATTTATAAGTGGATCTCACAAAACACAACTCTAGGTATGTCATTTATAAGTGGATCTCACAAAACAACTCTAGGTATGTCATTTATAAGTGGATCTCACAAAACACAACTCTAGGTATGTACTGTGAAGTAACCCATGCTTGCCATAAGAGGCGACTAACCGGATCGGGTGGTCAGGCTCGCTGTCTTGGTTGATGCATATCATCAATCCCAATTGCGTGGATCGATGCTCATGATATCAATCATTGGACTGTCTTGTCCAGACTCGATTATTTATAGACCGCCGTCATGCAGCTGGAATATTGCTGAGTGCGTTATTAAACAACAAACCAACCAACCAACTAGATATGTCATTTATAAGTAGATCTCACTAAACACAACTCTAGATACGTCTCAACAACTCATTTCAGTCACTTGTTTCTTTGACATTCAGATATAATATAAATATTAAGCCTCCAAATATCAAGTAATGTCTAGTAGTCCTGTGCATAGCTTTAGTGCATTAATTTTCATTGGGACTCCAGAATAAGTATTAGTTTCTAACACTGTTCACTCACTAACTGGGGGCACGGCTGGCCCAGTGGTCTAAGGTGCCGCAATTCGCTGTGCAGAGTTGCGTCTCTTGGGCAGGCTAGAAACCTATGCTTGTGGGTTCGAATCCCGGTTCGCCCCGATTATGTTTCTAGGTTTGTCAGCACCATACCTGTGCGCGTGGGTTTCACCGAAGTGGTAAACGTCTAAGACCTGCGTCACTTCGGGCTTTCCTCCCACATTAAGTGGACACGCAGTGATATAACTGGAAAACTGTTAAAAGCGGCGCTATGCACAACTCACTCACTCATTCACTCACTAACTCAGTACCCTTGCTCCTCAGACACAGCGGGGCAGCTCAGAAAATGACCCTGAAGCTACCGGTGTTCCTCAATAAATTCATAGAACCTGCAGAAATGAACTCGGAATCATTCTTCACAAGGTGGAAAGCACTTAGCCAGTAAGTAGCCACGTTTCTTTGAATCTTCTTCTTTTTCTCCTCACTGTCAAACATGATGAATTCAAGGAATCTATTAACCTGATATTATTCAATTCTTGCAAATATCACTTTAGTTGTCGTGATTTCACATTTCAGTATTGATTACAAATATCTCCTTTTTAGAATGTTTGAAATGAATGGTGAGTTTGTGTGACTGGTCATTGTGTTCGAATTGTGAGTAGTAAGTGTGGGGGTGGGGGTGGGGGTGGGGGTTGGCGGACTGTGAATGAGCGATGAATTGGAAGTGGTCAGTGTGTGGCTGTGTGTAGTGAGTGTGGGGGTGTGGGTGGGGGGAGCGGACTGTGTATGAGTGATGAATTGGGAGTGGTCAGTGTGTGGCTGTGTGTAGTGAGTGGGGGTGTGGATGGGGGGAGCGGACTGTGAATGAGCGATGAATTGGAAGTGGTCAGTGTGTGGCTGTGTGTAGTGAGTGTGGGGGTGTGGGGGTGTGGGTAGGGGGAGCGGACTGTGTATGAGTGATGAATTGGGAGTGGTCAGTGTGTGGCTGTGTGTAGTGAGTGTGGGGGTGTGGGTGGGGGGAGCGGACTGTGTATGAGTGATGAATTGGGAGTGGTCAGTGTGTGGCTGTGTGGAGTAAGTGTGGGGGTGTGGGTGGGTGGATGTACCGTATATGACCGCGTATACCGTATTCGACGTAATAAGCGCCCAGGGCGCTCTCAAAATTAGAAATAGAGGGCTCTTATTAGAATGTTATTTTGGTGAAAAAAACAGAGTTGAAAGATGAATTTCGTGGTTTATGCTGACAGCCTGAAATGTTTATGTACCCATAATTAAGGGTGCATATAACACACGAGTGTGTATTACACGCGAATAAATGTCTTGTGTAGATTGATCAATCGGAAGGGGTGCTAATTGGGATATATCAGCAAATATCGCCTAGCGCTTATTAGAGCGGGGCGCTTATTACGTCGAATACGGTAAGCCAAATTTTGAGGACCAGAAAAAAGATTCTGTAGAAAGGGGTCGGCTTATCCACGGGATACACTTTCATGATAGTATTTTTCAGATCGTGATCTGTTAGAAACATCGCCTGAATGACAGTCCGATAGATTACAACTTCCCGAAAGTTTGGAAGTTGCCACGACTAGAGCCATTATTGTTATAAATTATCAATAAAGTTATTATTATACACCAATGTTGTCATTATTAAAAAAATGTTATGCATGTTACTACTTCCGATAATAAGTTTTCAATTGAATGAATGTTCAAGTTTATCGTTCTTCATAAACTCCACAATCTTAACATGTAACAATATATGTAATTCACAGCTATAATATATAATCCCCAGATGCAATCGCCAATAGCTATTACGTACGTTTTGCAAAGTTCATAAATTGATAGTGAACATCGCCTAGTGTCTACCTTTATTGAAAGAGGCAAATATACAACTGTATCGGCGAGTTATTCCGTTCGCCATTTGCAAAAACATGTGATCAGCTGTTTCCTGTGACGTCACAAATGATGACCACTGTGATTGCTTCCTGTTGTTTAAAAGCAACACGGTACACAAGGAAATGAGCACTGATAATAACGGGCCGATTGGTATTGTCATGTTGTTTACACAAACATTTTCAAGTTGTGGGTGCTTAGCGATCGTGTTGGGAGTAGGGGCTTAATTCCTTTGTTTTCGAGAGATTAGTTTAATAAACTGGAGAAGCCTGTGAGTAAGTGATGGTCATTTAATGTGTTCATAGTATGATAGTTTATTTAATTCATTTGGATTAACATACAATAGTGGGGTAAAGGGGGGTTATAAAAGTTGGTATATTTTTACTGACTGACATTCTCATTATGAGTTTGAAACGAAAACGCCATGCTTACGAGTCTTCGCTCTAGCTGATATATTTTCTCACGGGTTCATAATTCTATATACACTGATTCACAAAATGGCGCTTCGTTGTTGATGGCAACATATAACGATCATTATGAGATTAAAAAAAACCAAGAGAAACAGCTTACCACATTATGAAAGTGGATGACTGGTTTGTTAAATCTTTATTAGAAATAATAATGACTTTTTCAATATAATTACAACGTTTTTCATCTTATATTTTTGAATATCTGCGAGTACCGGCACATGTCTTGCAGTCCGACTTCGCAGTGTTTTTTGCCTTTCAATTCCTGGTTCGGCTTATCTGCGGGTCAAATCATTTCCTTTCGTATTTCAATGGTCAAGTTAACACCTTGGCTTATCTACGGGTTCGGCTTATCCGCGGTCATATACGGTACTGTGTATGAGTGATGAATTGGGAGTGGTCAGTGTGTGGCTGTGTGTAGTGAGTGTTGGGGTGGGGGTGGGTGGATGTACTGTGTAAGAGTGATGAATTGGGAGTGGTCAGTGTGTGTCTGTGAGTAGTAAGTGTGGGGGTGGGTGTGATGGTGGCGGGGGTAGGGGGGTGGACTGTGTGTCAGCGGTTAGGGCACAGTGTTAAGGACAGAACTTATTGTTGATATTCCCCTTGTATTTGCAGACCAAGTCAGGAGTGTCAGAAAATATTTAAGGCACTGTTTCCGATAGATACAGAACAAACAAAGGCAAAGGTAAGAATCTCTAAACCTGTCCTTTATAAGTCTGAGGCACCCTAATCCAGTACTGTAAACACTTCGTTGAACCTAATCAGTTGAACTGGAACCCAGTCACCTTGTGCTCATGTGGAAAAAGTGCTCCGACTACTTGTCTTGGCTAATTCTGTGTCGTTGTACCCTGATGGATTATTTAGGGGCCACTGGCATAGAGCTGGAGGATTGTGTTGTACAACACCATTTACTAACTACAGGCATAACACAGTGATCCGTGTGTAGATGATTGAGCCTGTACACTATGTTCTGTTGCAATGTTTTATTCACTGTGGAGTTTCCTTCTTTTCTTGTTGCAGCTCATAGGCTTTGGAGTTAGTATTTTAGAAGGTATCGATCCCAACCCTGATAACTTCGTGTCGGCTGGCATCCTGCATACACGGAACTTACAGACAGGCTGTTTGGTTCGACTAGAACCCAATAAACAAGTAGAGGTATGTAACAGACAGGCTGTTTGGTTATACGAGATTCCAGTAAACAATTGTGGTATGTAACAGACAGGCTGTTTGATTAGATGAGATTCCAGTAAACAAGTAGAGGTATGTGACAGAAAGGCTGTTGGATTAGACAAGATTCCAGTAAACAATTGTGGTATGCAACAGACAGGCTGTTGGATTATACGAGATTCCAGTTAACAAGTCATTGTATGTAACAGACAGGCTGTTTGATTATACGAGATTCCAGTTAACAAGTCATTGTATGTAACAGACAGGCTGTTTGATTAGACAAGATTCCAGTAAACAATTGTGGTATGCAACAGACAGGCTGTTTGATTATACGAGATTCCAGTAAACAATTGTGGTATGTAACAGACAGGCTGTTTGATTATACGAGATTCCAGTAAACAAGTCGTGGTATGTAACAGACAGGCTGTTTGATTAGACGAGATTCCAGTAAACAAGTCGTGGCATACAACAGACAGGCTGTTTGATTATACAAGATTCCAGTAAACAAGTCGTGGTATGTAACAGACAGGCTGTTTGATTATACGAGATTCCAGTAAACAAGTCGTGGTATGTAACAGACAGGCTGTTTGATTATACGAGATTCCAGTAAACAAGTCGTGGTATGTAACGGACAGGCTGTTTGATTATACGAGATTCCAGTAAACAAGTCGTGGTATGTAACAGACAGGCTGTTTGATTAGACGAGATTCCAGTAAACAAGTAGAGGTATGTAACAGACAGGCTGTTTGATTAGATGAGATTCCAGTTGTAGAGGTATGTTGGATCGACTAGAACCCACTAAAGTAGTGTTATCCAAGCAGCATAAAACAATCCTCACTCACAATGTAATGGACAGATTGCTTCACTCAACTGTTCAAGTTGCAGGTTGACTCGTCACCTGTCCCCAGTAGTTGAATCTTGATTATTCATGAGTGTCATTTTCCACCTGTCTTATCACGAATATTGAAAGACTAAATTGTTTTTTTCAGATGTATCGGCTGACTATCAGATCAACAAAAGATTCCGTAGCATCCATATTAGGCGACTTGTTGGAGGGACAGTTTTAAGGGACTTGTGTTATACAAATCAGTTACACCTAGGCGTATGTTGTGTGTTAGCAGTTGTCTCACTCGGCGTCGGCATCGACGTGGAGAACGCTTGGCAACTTCGTCAACCGACCTAGGGTGGTGCTCATAGAGTTTCCATTGATGGTCACTTGACAAGGCATTCCTGATTGTATTGTCTTTCTAATTGTCCATGGATGCAGTTCAGATACATCACAAGGTACCGCCGCCACGGGACAACACAAGTCGGATGAAATATCTGTGCACTGCATGCTGGGAGTAAACAAAGGCTGTTACTGTATGGAGAAGACCCCTAGGAAAAGCTGGAACTGGATAATAAGATGAATAAATTACTTCAGTATCAAGTGTTACTGTAAGAAATGATTACTGGGGACTTTGTCTAAACATGACTTCTTCGGGACCCAAAGTTAAGTCCGTTGTTGAGACAGGTCTGGGTGCTACGACTGTCGTAAGTCTATGTTAAGGTATGGGGGTTACGATCATCTTAGCGCTAAGATCGCTTTGTACAACGGCACCCTGGACTATAGCTGAAGATAAAGAAATAGAAAATAAAGATGAGGTTGAACGAAGTATCATATATCATGGTAAATATGGAAGCGTACGTCTGGTCCAGTATTAACAAGCCCGGATTAGTCTGGTTTCCACAGATTCCATTGCAATTGTTTGTTGATTAAACTCATATAGTGGAGTTTTCAAGAATATATTTGGATAATTTCAGGCCATTTTATCATGTTGGACTCCTGGTAGTTACTTAGTGCTGGAGCGGTCAGTGATGTATTTTGTCTTGTGTTGTGAGTAGTGGAGGAGGCTGTCTAGTCGTCCCACATTGTGCAGACAACACCATGTGGTAAACATAGCTTGTGTCCTCAGTGACCTCACAAGCCTCAAACATTGTTAAACATAGCTTGTCTTCAGTGACCTCAAGCGTCAAACATTGTTAAACATAGCATGTGTCCAGTGACCTCACAAGCATCAAACATTGTAAAACAAAGCTTGTCTTCAGTGACCTCAAGCGTCAAACATTGATAAACATAGCATGTGTCCAGTGACCTCACAAGCATCAAACATTGTAAAACAAAGCTTGTCTTCAGTGACCTCAAGCCTCCAACATTGTAAACATTCAGTGTCTTGAATCCTATGTTGGTATTCAGTATGTAACTCTGTGTCCATCTTTTAACACTGTTCAGACCAGCTTCGGAAAGCTCAGCCATCTGTCTCAGTCATGAATATTGACAGCAGTAGCAGGTTTTGAAAGTATCTACATCAGCTTGTAGTATTAGCTGTTTCACCAAGGCGAGTGTGCTGGGACACAAGCTAGGTCAAATATAAACGTCACAATTCAACTGTCATGGTGGAGGTCACCTCATGTGGTGATCAACTCAAGGGCTTGTCCCCAGAAGACTGGAAAACGCAACTGTTGGCGTAACCAGTTTGGCCATTGTGACAAGCTGACCGACTCCAACTACAAGATTCCGAGTCACAAGACTTTAAATGTTTGTTGTAACCTGTTTGGTGATAGCATATAGACAGGGATTCCGATATCCAGATCACATGGCTCTGAGTCCGAAGTCTTGAACAGAACTACAGTGGGTAGTTGTGGATCAGGTTTGAGGACATGTGAGTGTTTCACGTGATGACAGTTTGTTATATTGTGGACACTGGAGGTATAGTAGATATGAGCTGTACAGTACATGTTCGTTGTAGATATGTTAGATCTATTCACTGCTATGAAATGTTTAGTATAAAAAGGCCTTTGAGAAGCGTCTGTCTGTGTTGGTGTAATTGCAGCATGTTTACATTATACATAGAACACACTGGCAGACTTGTAGTTACGAGACTGCAATTGTTAGATATGTTACCATGGTTACATAGAGAATCTGATTATTTTCATAGGACTCCGTCCTGTAACATTTAGATGGAAAGATGCTTGCATGCTTTGAAATGATTGAGAAAAGAAACCAAGAAGTTTGAAATTTGCTCCTGCATGTTAGTATCTTTGGGCATGGGTGGTTGAGTAGTCCAGGATGGTTCAGAGTTTCCCAATTTGATCGTCTCTCTGTGATTTGAATCCCAGATGCTCCTGATAAATGACCTTTGGTCTGCATGATCCTTGATCCTTGATCTGTTTTTGATCTGTCATGATTCTTGATCTGTCATGATCCTTTATCTTTGGCCTGTCATGATCCTCGATTTGTCATGATTCTTGATCTGTCATGATCCTTGATCTGTCATGATCCTTTATCTTTGGCTTGTCGTGATCCTTGATTTGTCATGATCCTTGATCTGTCATGATCCTTGATCTTTGGCATGTCGTGATCCTTGACCTGTCTTCAGTTCGCCTTCAGCTCGTGGGTTCACCAGACTTGCATATCTGTAATCTGCATCACTTTGGTCTGTCCTCCTCCCACATGACACCGGCGCGCTATGTAACTGTTACTGATGCTACAGTTCAGGTCATGACAAAATGTAACCCAACACAGCCTCTCTTCCACTATGGAGGAGAGCAGATCTTAAGAGTGAATGGTCAAGTGGTCAATTTGCTGTCACAGCAGTGCACTGTGGGAAGGCTGAAGATCAAGACGTGAACATAGTTTAGCCAGCTAGTAGACAAACATTCCCTTTGTGTTGAGGGCCAGGCAGCCCTGACACTCAAGGGCGCACCAGCCTCGACTTTGCACACTTTTGTATTTTTACAAACTATTGTTAATGATTTGTTGACTTGTGATAAATTGTTTTATGTAAATCTCTGTTTAAGGAACGTGTGTTAAAGGAACTAGCACTGTTATGTACCAGTAAGTGGAGGTTTCTGAGCTATAAAATCTTTAGTTTGCTAGCTATGTCTTCTTGTGATAGTGATATTATGGGTGAGATAGTTGTTCAGTGAGAGAATTTGATCATAGAGAGTTCTAAGACTAAGTTTCAAGGAGTCTTCACAGGCAGAATCGTCCTGATCGGCAAACATTTAAAAAATCATTATTGTAACTGTTGATAATTTGGTCAAAACTTGGATAGGATTTATTCATTGGTACAAATTCAACTGAATAGTGTGCTACATGAGAACATCCCAAAGTTTTGTTGATGGCCTTTGGAATATATTTTGTTTTATAAGCAGGCCATGTGGATGGTGATGTCCTGAACAGAAGTCATTGATCTTTTGTAGGTTTGATGTATGAGACCTGAACAAGCTTGCTGCTACTTGTTTACTGTGTATATTCATGGATTCTGTTCTTTAAAGAAGCTTGTGCTCTTGAAATGATAACTGCAATGCTTTGCTGGTGTATAAGAACAAGTGTTGCATGTCCAGAGGGTTGAGTGAATCACGTGATGTGAAAGGTTACAATATGTTATCAACCATTGTTAAATCTTATTGTTTTCTTCTGATTTGTAAATTTTATGTATACTTTGTACATTGTGTCCTAGCCTTCTATAGCTAGCCTTGCTCTATGTACTGAGGAAATGTATAACTATATTTAATTGGGTGACAAACTCTCCTCACCTAAATATTGTATATAGCTCTATATATAGGCTTGTAAATGCATGCTTAAAGTTTAGTTAGGCTACAAAGAGATTTGTGTTTGATCATGCAATGCTGTGTGTGTTGAACAGCACCCGGAGGTGGAGTTGCAGGCTGAGGTTGGGATGAGAGGCAAGGGGAGGTTACCTCTGAAATGTTTCCTGGAATGAAGGTGTTATGGCATGAGGTGTTGCTTCTATTATCAATGTTATCATTATGCAATGGCGGTCATACTGAATCATTAAAAAGAGCAAGGAAAACAAAGGCCTTCAAGTTGTTGCTACACCTTCCTTTCCAGCGTCCTTCTTGCTTACTCATGTAATAAGCCTGCTGCTGCTTCTGTCTGAGCCTGCTAGGATGACCATTGACGGGTTACGGTGTCAGTTGGTAAAAGATTCATATCTTTCTCGTTTACATTCCCACTTCACGTGCTAATCCTCAATATTCATCCATCCCTTCGGCTATTTTCAATCCTCTCCCATCTCTTTCAACATCTCCTTGCCCCAAACTACCCTTCACCTAACCCACCCTTCACCTTACCTACCCGTCACTAAACTTGCCCTGACACAACCAACCCCTCACCCACTCAAATCCTCCCCCAATAACCCTCGTCCTCCCATCCCCTCGAACCAAAGTCCATCCCTCTTGCCCAGCCTCCTTCCCCTGAGCTCCACCTCCCCTCCTCCCCATAGCTCCACCTCCCATCCTCCCAAGAGCTCCACTCCCCTCCTCCCAAGAACTCCACTCCCCTCCCAGCCAATACCACGATGCATTATCTGGCCTCCTCCTGGCATTATTCCTGTTTCCCTTCCATGCTTATTAACATGCTCTGAATGTGATACTGTATTTAGATACACACACCATAATGTTATTTAATGTACTCATGGTCATAACGATGCATAAAGGTATTGTAGATTCAGTGGGCTTGAAGACTCATCAGCTTTCTTCTAAAGCAGGCTCATGTGGCAACAAATGTGGACCAGCCATAATCAGTTGTTATGCAGTGGTAGTCCAGTCGGAACCATTATCAGACTTGTTTTAGGTTAATTGCTTGTCCAGGTAAGTGGACACAGACATAATTGTCAGCTTACCTGTGGGAAGTCTTGGAACTAACAACAGTCACACGGCATGTATGGTATCATTAGTTGTATACAGTCATTGTCCCTACATCATTCAGGGATAGAGCTCTGGCATACATGGGGGTTGTTTAGATAGACACAAATTGTATGGGAAGATAGGATGTGTATGGTTACGTTGTTACGATAAGGTTAGTGATCAGTGACTCTGGTAGATGTGGGATGAATAAAACCGTTATAGTCCAAGATGCATCTGTAGGTGATGAACAGCTGTGGTAGTACCTGTCAGTAGAGTCTGTGCAGTCGCCCAATAAAGCTGAGTCATGAACCTGAATAAAACAAGTTCCCTATTCTTTTTTTCAGTGCAGGTTGCAATGTCTACATGAAATCCCCAAGCTTAACACACATGATCCAGTTTGATTGTACATCTTAGAATGTTGTACATAGTCCAAGGCATGTTTCACCAACTGTCCTGGTGCTAATATTGGTGTGTGGGTCCTTTCTTCATCCTGGATGTACACTGTAGCACAAGGGTTGCTGTGAGGAACTGAGGCCTGTTGACTGCCCTTTTTGTCAGTGTTAGAAGCAGGTGTATTATGCAGTGCTAAAGTAGTCATTGTTCCTGTGGACTGTAGTTCCCTCGTGAGAAGACTGTCCCTGTTGTCTGGTGCAATAGTTAGTGTAGTTTACTCATAGTTTCCTCATAGGTCAGGGGAGATCACTCATAGTTTCCTCATAGGTCAGGGGAGATCACTCATAGTTTCCTCATAGGTCAGGGGAGATCACTCATCAACACACGTAAACACATCCGATTAGAAAACTGCTTAGCTCTCAAATGTTGTCAATGCAGTTTCTTGAATCGGTTAATTATGTGGTATTTCAGGTTTGTCCACGATTTCTTTTTAAGTAGGTGGTTAGGATTTGAAGAAATAGCCATTTGAAAATGTCACTTGAATTACAATTGGATTATTTGAAGTTTTGTAGTCAGATGAATGGTTTTGTAACACAGACTTTTTGTATGATAATTTGTATGGAGAGTGGTAGGCCACTGGGCCCAGCCCCACTGGAGGCACAAGCCACAAGGTGATGTGTCCCAGGTAGCTACACTGATCATGTCCATGATACCTGCACAGCCTGACAATGTATGTCATACTCATGTAATAAAGGTGATTTTTAAAAAGAATACTTTTCCTGTTCATTTTTGTGTGACCTAACTTTCAAAAGCAGTATTGAGCTCTTGTTCATTTTAAGAAGTTTTTACTTCTTATTGACGATGATGCTTGTTTTGAACCTTACTGTGATTTCTCTGGTCTTGGAATTCACCGTAGTGGGAAGTTGACAGATTGAATGAGAGAACTACGTTCTTGATGGTTGTGGGGTCATTTGTCAACAGTATGACCCGCACTCATGATGACTGCTACTGATTGGCCAGGACATTCTTACACATGTAATGTTTTCTACTGATTGGACAAGACATTCTTACACACGTAATGTGATCTACTGATTGGGCAGGACATTCCATATGCATAATGTGTTCTACTGATTGGGCAGGACATTTTACATGCATAATGTGTTCTACTGATTGGGCAGGACATTTTACAAGCATAATGTGTTCCACTGAATGGGAAGGACATTCTACATGCTTTATGTGTTCTATCATTCTATCAAAGCTGTTATCATTCCTGTTCATAAAAAAGGAGAGAAAAGTAATCCTGATAACTATCGTGGTATTTCACTTCTCAGTGTTACAGGTAAAGTTTACACGTCTGTTTTAAGTAAACGACAAACTATATGGGCAAACATCAAGAACAGAATACCAGAAACAGGCCGCTTTCAGAAAGGGTTATGCAACCACTGACCACATATTTACCCTGAATGCTATTATTCAGAAATGTTTATGTAAAAAGAACCAAAACTTTATGCGGCATTTGTAGATTTTAAAAAGGCTTTTGATTTTGTTAACCGTGATAAGTTGTGGAATCTCTTAATGTCTTATGGTATAAGTAGTAAAATGTTGAAAGCTTTAAGAAGTTTATATAAAAGTGTTAAATCGTGTGTAAAATGTGATCTAGGTTACACAGATTATTTTGACTGCCCTACTGGTCTACGACAAGGATGTATTTTGAGTCCATTACTGTTTTCACTTTTCATAAGCGAATTATCAAATGAAGTTATTTCTAATGGAAAGCATGGTGTACAGTTATTCCCTGATTTAATAGAGATACTGTTATTGTTGTTTGCTGATGATATTATTTTAACAACAGATAGTGTCATGGGGCTACAGAATCAGTTGAATATTCCAGAAACCCACACAGAAAAATGGAATTTAACGGTAAATCTGGAAAAAAGAAAAGTTGTTGTATTCAGACGAGGTGGGGTGCCGTCAAAAAAGGATATTTGGTATTATAGGGGGGGGGGGGGGGGGGGGGAAAGGTTGAGGTAGTGTCAAGCTACAAACATCTTGCTTGACCTTTTTATTCATCAGGAAAATTCAGTAAAAGTATATCTGACCTAGCACTAAGAGCAAAAAGAGCTTTGGTCGAATTGATTGCAACTTTAAGTAAAATTGCTCTTATTTCAAAGTCAGTGTTCTTTAAGATATTCGATTCACAAATACAACCTATACTTTTATATGGCTCTGTAGTGTTGGGATTTCAGCAATATGACAAATTGGAAAAAGTTCATCTATTAGCCTGTAAGAAATTCCTGAAAGTAGGACAACAAACCCCAAATGCTATAATCTACGGGGAAACGGGATTGCTTTCCACTGTACATCAACTCCTATGTTAGAACACTTACGTTTTGGCTCAAATTAATTCATATGAATGAAGACAGATTGCCAAAAAAAGGCTTATAATATGTTATTGTATTTAAATAACCGTGGACGCCATACATGGGCTTCTAACATTCGTTTACTTCTTTTTTCTCATGGCTTTTGTTTTGTTTGGATATCGCAAACAGTTGGGAACCAGCTTTCCTTTCCACGACTTTTTAAGGATACTTGTATAAACATGTTTTACCAAAACTGGAGTTCAGTCTTAAACTCTAGTTCAAGATATCATTCATATGCAGAGTTTAAAAGTCTCTTAGAACCTGAAAAATATCTTTCAGTTTTGTTTGAAAGAAAATTTAGAAACATAATTGTAGATTTAGAGCAGGTCTTTTAAAATTTAAGAATAATGAAGGCAGATATCTGTCGATAGAAAAGTCTTTTCGAATATGTCCAGTCTGTAATAATGGTATAGAGGATGAATTTCATTTTTCACTCATTTGTTCATGTTATAATGATCTCAGAAAAGAATACTTACCGGCAAAACTTTGCCGATATCCTAACCCCAAATGAAGCAGTCTTAAACAGTTTATCACGTTTCCTATATTCCGCTTATGCAAAAAGAACAAGTAGTTCAATTCAATTATGACATGTGTCACGTTACTTTACCGTTGCATCTGTGAACAATTGGTATGTTGTGAACTGTAATTGTAAATGGGCCCGAGGCCTTCATGCAAATAAATACTGATTGGGAAGGACACTTTACAAGCATAATGTGTTCTACTGATTGGGCAGGACATTCCACAAGCATAATGTGTTCTACTGATTGGGCAGGACATTCCACATGCATAATGTGTTCTACTGATTGGGCAGGACATTCTCACACTCATTATGTGTGCTACTGAAGTGTATCTACAGCGTGGCCATACTTGTAGGACGTCCATGTTATACATGTATCTACAGTGTGGCCATACTTGTAGGGCGTCCATGTTATACATGTATCTACAGTGTGGCCATACTTGTAGGGCATCCATGTTATACATGTATCTACAGTGTGGCCATACTTGTAGGGCGTCCGTGTTATACATGTATCTACAGTGTGGCCATACTTGTAGAGCATCCATGTTGTACGTCTATCTACAGTGTGGCCATACTTGTAGAGCGTCCGTGTTATACATGTGTCTACAGTGTGGCCATACTTGAAGGGCGTCCATGTTATACATGTATCAACACAGTGGCCATACTTGTAGGACGTCCATGTTATACATGTATCTACAGTGTGGCCATACTTGTAGAGCGTCCGTGTTATACATGTGTCTACAGTGTGGCCATACTTGAAGGGCGTCCATGTTATACATGTGTCTACAGTGTGGCAATACTTGTAGGACGTCCATGTTATACATGTATCTACAGTGTGGCCATACTTGTAGAGCATCCATGTTGTACGTCTATCTACAGTGTGGCCATACTTGTAGGGCGTCCGTGTTATACATGTGTCTACAGTGTGGCCATACTTGAAGGGCGTCCATGTTATACATGTATCAACAGTGTGGCCATACTTGTAGGACGTCCATGTTATACATGTATCTACAGTGTGGCCATACTTGTAGAGCGTCCGTGTTATACATGTGTCTACAGTGTGGCCATACTTGAAGGGCGTCCATGTTATACATGTGTCTACAGTGAGGCCATACTTGTAGGGCGTCCGTGTTATACATGTATCTACAGTGTGGCCATACTTGTAGAGCGTCCATGTTGTACGTGTTTCTACAGTTTGGCCATACTTGAAGGGCGTCCGTGTTATACATGTATCAACAGTGTGGCCATACTTGTAGGACGTCCATGTTATACATGTATCTACAGTGTATCCATACTTGTAGGGCGTCCATGTTGTACGTGTATCTACGGTGTGGCCATACTTGTAGAGCGTCCATGTTGTACGTGTATCTACGGTGTGGCCATACTTGTAGAGCGTCCATGTTGTACGTGTATCTACGGTGTGGCCATACTTGTAGAGCGTCCATATTATACATGTGTCTACAGTTTGGCCATACTTGAAGGGCGTCCATGTTATACATGTGTCTACAGTGTGGCCATACTTGTAGGGCGTCCGTGTTATACATGTATCTACAGTGTGGCCATACTTGTAGAGCGTCCATGTTGTACGTGTTTCTACAGTTTGGCCATACTTGAAGGGCGTCCGTGTTATACATGTATCAACAGTGTGGCCATACTTGTAGGACGTCCGTGTTATACATGTATCAACAGTGTGGCCATACTTGTAGGACGTCCGTGTTATACATGTATCAACAGTGTGGCCATACTTGTAGAGCGTCCGTGTTATACATGTGTCTACAGTGTGGCCATACTTGTAGAGCGTCCGTGTTATACATGTATCTACAGTTTGGCCATACTTGTAGGACGTCCATGTTATACATGTATCTACAGAGTGGCCATACTTGTTGGACGTCCATGTTATACATGTATCTACAGTGTGGCCATACTTGAAGGGCGTCCGTGTTATACATGTATCTGCAGTGTGGCCATACTTGTAGGACGTCCATGTTATACATGTATCTACAGTGTGGCCATACTTGTAGGGCATCCGTGTTATAAATGTATCTACAGTGTGGCCATACTTGTAGGGCGTCCGTGTTATACATGTATCTACAGTGTGGCCATACTTGTAGGGCGTCCGTGTTATACATATATCTACAGTGTGGCCATACTTGTAGGGCATCCATGTTGTACATGTATCTACAGTGTGGCCATACTTGTAGGGCGTCCGTGTTATACATGTATCTACAGTGTGGCCATACTTGTAGGGCGTCCGTGTTATACATGTATCTACAGTGTGGCCATACTTGTAGGGCGTCCGTGTTGTAGATGTATCTACAGTGGGGCCATACTTGTAGGGCGTCCGTGTTATACATGTATCTACAGTGTGGCCATACTTGTAGAGCGTCCGTGTTATACATGTATCTACAGTGTGGCCATACTTGTAGGACGTCCGTGTTATACATGTATCTACAGTGTGGCCATACTTGTAGGGCGTCCGTGTTGTAGATGTATCTACAGTGTGGCCATACTTGTAGGGCGTCCGTGTTATACATGTATCTACAGTGTGGCCATACTTGTAGAGCGTCCGTGTTATACATGTATCTACAGTGTGGCCATACTTGTAGGACGTCCGTGTTATACATGTATCTACAGTGTGGCCATACTTGTAGGGCGTCCGTGTTATACATGTATCTACAGTGTGGCCATACTTGTAGGACGTCCGTGTTATACATGTATCTACAGTGTGGTCATACTTGTAGAGCGTCCATGTTATACATGTATCTACAGTGTGGCCATACTTGTAGGGCGTCCGTGTTATACATGTATCTACAGTGTGGCCATACTTGTAGGGC